TTAGGTTAAAGATAGTAGATTTCACTGTTGCATCCCCAAACCCCACTACAATGACAACAAATTTTTCAAAAAGCACAAAACCACAGGAGCAAAAAATGAGAGGGAAGATACCAACACTTTGGGAACTGGAAAGCAGGATGCTTGGGAGTTCAGTTGACACCCCCAGGAAAATCCTAAGCCAGAATTTGGGGAGATAAGACACAAGAATGGGTGGATCAGGGTGCCTGTGGAAGGCGCTCAGGCTGGGATGCAAATCAGGAGGACAATGGACTCAGCAGACTCCTACCTCACTGATGGGGCCATTGCCCCATCCCACCAAAAGACAGTTTACCTTCAGTAAACAGGTTTCTGGAGTGCAGAGAGCCAGATAATCGAAAAAGAAAAGAAATATATGAAACCTTAGAAAAGAATGCTGAGAATCCCGTCTTCTTCCTCAGCTCCCGGAGAGCTGGAAGCTGGAGGTGGGCCACGGCAAGCTCACACATGGCAGCCTCCCCGCTCTCACTAGCCCTCTGCTGAGCGCCCAGTCCCTGGTCCACACTGCAGCTTGCCATTTGCAACCGTGGGAGACCTCTGTTCCCAGGACCTACACATGACCTTGCACCCTGCCTTCCCTAAAAGGAAAGTGAAGCAGACTGATCCCGAGTGGAATCGCATTACCTCTATTTGGGAAAGAAACATCTTTTCAATATCATGGATTATCACCTAAAAACAATTGTATCTTTCCACCTAAACAAGTATTATTTTAGGTTCTCAGTAAAGCTGAATAGTTTTCTTAATAAAGATTCAACGTATTTCTTATGTTTATTCTTAGATATTGCATATTTTTTGCTGCTACTGTGAAATAGAGTTTATCCTGTTACATCTTTCTAGCTGGTTACTGGTATATAAGAAAGCTATTAATTAGTGTCTATATATTTTGCATTTGAAAATCTTACTGAGTTCCATTAGTTCTGAGAATTTTTTGGTTGATTTTTATTGGAGTTTTCCAGGTAAAAAGTCATTATCTGCAAGCAAGCAATGACAATTTTGGCTCCTTTTTATAGGTTTATCTTTTAACTTATTTTTAAACTTCCCATAATATCTAGAACATTCAAAATAATATATACGTTTTTTTGCTTCCTGAGGAAGTTTTGCCCTGAGCTAGCATCTCTTGCGAATCTTCCTCTTTTGCTTGAGGAAGATTTGCCCTGAGCTAACATCCATGTCAACCTTCCTCTACTTTGTATGTGGGTTGCTGCCATGGCATGGCTGCAGATGAGTGGTATAGGTCTGCGCCTGGGAACTGAACTGGGCTACCAAAGCAGAGCATGCTGAACTTAGCCACTAGGCCACAGGGCTGGCCCCTCAAAATAATATTTCATAGAGGCGAGAGGAGATGAAAATTCTTGTTTCTTCACTTGAATTTCCATTCATTTAACAAATATTCACCAAGCTTCTAGAACATGTCAGGCAGTAAATAAAATGATTGACATTTTACTTCATATTATAATCCTGGTTGATGAGACAAATGTCTTTGATTGAGATTTAAGTGCAGTAGATGGCAGACTTGTCATTAAAACATTAGAATATGAAGGTACATAAAGCAGCTTTAGAAAAAACAAACATAAGATCTGCATTTCCATCCACTTGAGAATCTCTAAGCCCTGGGGTTTCTCATGCTAAGAATGGAGCAGAAATGCCTCCTTCTGCAGAACCCCACAGGTAACAAGCGCAGACCACATGCCCCAGGACCATGCCATCCAGCCCTCTGGGTCAAGGCCATCCTAAGACTCTACTGAAATAGCTCTTGAAATCATTCTCCTTCAGTTTTTTTTTTTTTTTTTTTTTAAAGATTTTATTTTTTCCTTTTTCTCCCCAAAGCCCCCCGGTACATAGTTGTGTATTCTTCGTTGTGGGTTCCTCTAGTTGTGGCATGTGGGACGCTGCCTCAGCGTGGTCTGACGAGCAGTGCCATGTCCGCGCCCAGGATTCGAACCGACGAAACACTGGGCCGCCTGCAGCGGAGCGCGCGAACGTAACCACTCGGCCACGGGGCCAGCCCCTCTCCTTCAGTTTTTACTAGGACAAAACAAAAACTCACAATGAGGCAATATTCTGGGAATTTATATTCAGATGTAAATAGCTACAGAGCTGTTTTGTGACACTTCCTGATATCAATACAGGTAGCACTAAGTGAAGATGATATGTAGAAATACAAATAAACAATGAAGTTCTATCTTGACCTATATTATTGGCAAAGAATGGAATACTGACGATACCAAAATGGTAAGTGTGAGCAAACACTCTCTTGCTGCCAGGGGGCCCTGCTCTCGGACCCTAACCTAACCCTAACCCTGAAAGGATGGACCACACATGTTAGGAAGGCTCTGCACAGACGTCCTCTCTGCCACATAGTCTGTGAGAGGAAAACAAAACTCATTCGCAATATTCAACAGGCGTTACTTTTTCATAGCTTTATACTCTCCCTGATAATAAATACAGAAAATTTGCAAGTTGCAAAAAAGCATTAAAAAGAGAATAAAAGTCACCTCAAATCACATGATCCTAAACGAGCCTCTGTTAATACACTAGTGTAGTTGTCTTTACAAGCTCGATTCCACATTGACTATATCTTACAAAGTTAGGATCTGTGGTGGGGTTTGTACTCACCCTTCCCTAGTGTAGAGGTGGTGATGGGCAATGGCTGCCCACCTGGGGAGCAGGTGAGGCCACAGGAGCAGAGCTCACCAATGCAGTGTGAGCCAGTGATGCGCATCTGGTTGTCGGTACTGATTTGGTGAAGCGGCTAGTACCAATCTAACGTGAGACTACATTCTATATGTTTGTTATTGCTTTTAGCTTACCAATAAATTTTTTTAAAGGTCATATGTCTACAAATCATAAACTAAAAAAATACATAATAAATAAAAACAATACAATCTCAGTGCCAACTTGTCTCCATGCATCCTGTCCCCCTCGTGCCCAGATAACCATTTTTATTATCTACTTATCTATCCTTCAGTGTTTCCTTACACAAATACATGTATGTGTTATCATTCTTTCCTTCTTCTAATACAAAAGGTGATGTAGTACATGTTGTAAACTGTTTTACACCTTGATTTTTCTCTCAGCAACAGACCCAGGCAATTTCTCTGTATCAATTCACAGCTTTTTTGCTGCTCCATACTGTCTCATTGGGTTGATATCATAAGGTATCAAACTAGTCTCCTATCACTGGATGTGCAGGTTGCTTCCAGCAATCAGTGCCACCATGAATCATTCTGTACACATAGAATTATTTTATGTGCAAGTGCACACAGGATAGTCCCAGAATGGAAACTCTTGGATCAGAGTAAATGCATCCATCAGTAAGAGATTACTCTCTCAAATCCTTGCTTCCCTCAAAGCCTCACTAACAGAGTGGCTGTCAAAGATGCATGTTCACCAATCTAATAGGTGAGAAATGGCATCTTGGTGTAGTTTCGATTTCTCTAATTAGGAGTAAGTGTGGTTGAGCATCTTTTCAGATCTTGAAGGGATATGGTATTTCTTTTTCTATGAATTATGCCCATCCTTTGCAAATTTTTCACTGGGTTTTGATCTTTTTCTTTTCAATTCCTAGAAGCTCCTTATCTATTAATGAGCTTCTTATCTATATGAGTTGCAAATATTTTTTCTTTTGTCATTAGTTAAGTCATGCAGATGTTGTTCATATTTATGAAGTCAAATTTATGTTAAAACTTTTTAAAAGAATTTTGACCTTGAGTTCTAGTTAGAAAGGTTTCCTCCACATCAAGACTATAAAGAATTTCATTCACGTTTCCTTCTAATAATTTCTGGTTTCATTTTTACACTTAACAGATCCATTTGGACCTTGATCCTGGTGTATGGTGTAATATATGGATGCAGATTTTATTCCAAATTGCTATCATTTGTCCCAAAATCCTTTATTAAAAATCTAAATCAATCTTGACTCCACTCATTTGTGACTCCACCTTTATCCTCTACTAAATCCCCACAAGTATTTGAATGCACGTGTGGACTTTCTGGCCTATCTGATCGGATTCTTACTCAAAGTTACTGCCATTCAGCCTGAACAGGCACTGCAGTGGGGACTCAGCACTCTTCTTCCTCAGAGGGCTCCTGGCATGCCTGCACAGCATCTTTTCATTGAACTTCAGAATCAACTTGTGTAGAAGCCAAAAGAAACAGGCTGGCATTTTTATTTGGAATCTTGCTAAGTGAATAATCTGAGGGAGCTGTAGCAGTTTATGATGCTGAGCTTTCCTATTCAAGAACATCTATGTCCTTACATTTGTTCAAGCTACTTTTGTATCCTCTGGGAATGTTTTAAAGTTTTCTCTTACAGATTTTGCATACTTCTTTCTAAGCATCCTTACAGGGATTATGTTTTTGTTACCGATTTTTTTTGTCTTCTCTTCCGTTCCAGCTCACAACCAATTGTTGTTGTTTGTATATGAAAGCTATGGGTCACAGTGTACTAATTTTCTACCTGCCAAATAGGGGATAGTGCATCTGCACACTGGGATGACTCGCCGTTGTTAAGAACAAAGAATCATGCCTATGCAGCAAGAGTGGGGGTGGAAGGACTTACAGTCTTGTAGGGGGAGGAACTGTTCATGTCAGGGAAGGGGAGGTGGGGCAGAGAATTTATGCTTCAGTATTTTAAAAAATTTAAATACTATTTCTTTTATAAAATAAAAGGGGCCGGCTCCGTGGCCGAGTGGTTAAGTTTGCACGGTCCGCTGCAGTGGCCCAGGGTTCGGATCCTGGGTACGGACATGGCACTGCTCGTCAGCCCACGCTGAGGTGGCGTCCCACATCCCACAACTAGAAGGACGTGCAACTAAGATATACAACTGTGTACAGGGAAGATTTGGGGAGATAAAAGCAGAAAAAAAAAAAAAAGATTGGCAACAGTTGTTAGCCCAGGTGCCAATCTTTGACAAAAAGAAAAAATAAAATAAAATAAAATAAAAAAGATTTCAGGGGCCGGCCTGGTGGTGCAGCGGTGAAGTGTGCACATTCTGCTTCAGCGGCCCAGGGTTCACCAGTTCAGATCCCGGGTGCAGACACGGCACTGCTTGGCAAAAAGCCATGATATGGTAGGTATCCCACGGACAAAGTAGAGGAAGATGGGCATGGATGTTAGCTCAGGGCCAGTCTTCCTCAGTAAAAAGAGGAGGATTGGCAGCAGTTAGCTCAGGGCTAATCTTCCTAAAAGATTGGAAAAAAAAATGATTTCAAAAATCGGGGGTGTATTAGCATGAACAGGCTACACCATGCTGCAGGAACACACTTCCACCAAATCCATCGGCACAAGGAACAAGAGGATACTTCTTTCTCTGGCCACATGCCCGGCACAGGTGAGCAGGGAATTCCACTGATCCTAGTCACTCAAGAATCTGTCAGGAAGCTCCATCACTTTGTGATGTCACCATCTCCACAAATGGCTTTAGGAAAGAAGGCATGGAGAACCACAAACCCGTTATAAAATGCTTCTACCTAGAGAGTCATATGTCACTTTCTTCAGACAATGAGACCAGATCTTACTTCAAATGGGGAAGGCCCCAAACTGGAAATTCACTGAGCAGTACTGATGTGCCCACAGAATGAAACAGCTACATGTGCACGCACAGCGCTTACAAAATGGATCAAGTGAGCTACTTCACAACTTCACACGGGAAAAACTTGCTCTTTAAAGGAGCCCTAGTAAATTTTTTAACAAAGTGCTATTTTTAGATGTAAGTGAATCCCCCTCCCCCCCACCAATACTCCTATCTGGGAAGGCTGAGCTTCTGATTTCTTTATTTTATTAAAGGAGAACACACTGGCACTGCAGAAATCCCTACTTAAATCGATTACAGTTACCCTGGACACACTCACCCTTCAATGTTCAGAGTCCCTGGTGTTGACAACTTGAGGGTACCCACGATTCCCAATGATTCATCAGAAAGCCAGAAGGAGCGGAGGAGACTGGCTTCATGGGAAGTGTTCCTCGGTGTCCTGGCTTCCCCACGGCATTTGCAGCAAGTGCACAGACCTTGCCAGCCACTCCAAAGCTTTGACAAGGTGGGAGGTGCCAGGCCAACAGGGAGGTCCCAGAGCAGGCCACCAACCTGAGGCAAGGCTCTGCAGCAGGCTTGTGACCTCAGAAGCTCATCCCTCAGCATTGTGCTGTGATCACTAACACTGTCAGAGAAGGAAAGTGACATCCTAGTTAACTCACTGGTTTCCCTCAATTGACAATTGCCCAGTATTTTCAACCCATAATATTTCCTCTTCTTATAGTCAGGATGTGTGAGACAGCCCTAACAGAAGCGAAGAGTACAGTGGTTAGAGCACAGGCCCTGGAGCCTGCCCAGCTCTGCCTCCAATGGCTGCGTGGCCCTGGGCAAGCTACATAACTATCTGTACCTTGGTTTCCTCCTCTGTGAAATGGGGGCATCAGTACCTACCTCATGAAGTAGTTGTAAGCATTTAATAGGTTAATACATGTAAAGTACTTAGGAGAATGGTATCTGATACAAAGCATTTAATCTTATTAATTCTTCCTGTGCCTACTTTTATTGACTCAGCTCTTCTTCCTCTTCATTTCTTTTTGAGTGTTCTGCCTCTACTTTTCTTTCCTTCACTCTTCTTTCCTCTCATCTTTAGCAAACATCAACTTACTGGATGCTATTTTGAAAGACACCAGGGAAGCTAGCATATAAGAGACATGGGTTAATTAGGAAGATTGCCGCTTTAAGAGCTCAGCACACACAGCCTTCCTACTCTTGAGGGACCTTGCACCAAGACCTTAAGCAGCAGCCTTGGCTCCTACATAAAGGTGCCCCTGGTGACAGAGGACCCTTTACCTAAGTAGCAGCTGTATCCGATTTCACGTGACCAGTCCTCTATCATAAGCCCGGTTACAACCTGGAGTCAGCAGTGGCTCAAATGCAGAGAAAGGTCTCGTTTTTAAAAACCAGTAGTCCATTATAAAGCGCCTAGGAATCATTCTTGACTACCTCATCTCTAACTTTATTCATCTCTCCAGAAGTGTTTCCTCTTAGGTTTTTGCATGTCATAGACTAGTAAAATTTTCCACAAAATGGGGACTAACATAGTTTTACCAAGTTTTTAATTTTACTAAGTAAGGATGTCAAAAGCTAGCTAATTTGATAAGAACATTTTAACACCAAAAAAAGACAGAAGGGACATTGTCTCAGGATTCAAACATTATATAAACTTACCTTTACTTGAGATTATCTACACTGTCCTTATTTTTTCATTTCCCTTCCGGACAGTAAAAATTTAGTCCAAAAATGCCATGGATGCCAAGTCGGAAGTATGTGGGACTCCCACTCCTCAGGAACGACCTGGTGGGCTTGCTTAATGCCACTGAATTGTACACTTAAAAAAGGTTAAAATGGTAAATTTCATTATGCATATTTTACCATAATAAAAAAAAGTTTTTTAAAGGCTCTCATTTGGAAAATTATAGCTCCCTTTTCATTCAGCTTGTTCACTCAAGAAGCATCCTGTTTGTCTAGCACTAGACTTGTTTATGAGACATTACAAATCTCTGAGAAAAGAACTAAGCGCCCCTACCAACTAGAACAAGAAACTACCTGCTCTGTACTGCTATTTTCATAGCAAAAAGCATCTGAGAAAGTTCTGAAATCTGTGGCAATATAAAGCAAAAATACAAGGATTTAAAATGTATTAGCAATGTAGGTAATTTAATATCTACAAAAACATTATAAACACAAATTAACATGTAAGAAAGGTGTCTCCTGCAAACTTCTTTTAAATTGACAGAAAAAGTAGATGGGGTGAGTAGACAGAAAAAAAAAGCATTATATCACTTTATACTTGTAAAATGCTGACAGGATCTTGTTAAAATCTTAGTACAACTCCATGAAGCAGGTAGAACAGATAACAACCCTGTTATAAAGATACGGAAACTAGGCTCATAGCTATTAAGTAACTTGCTGAAGCTGGGTCTCTAAGTCTGGCCCACTATTTCCATTCCACTAAATCCTCATCAGGAGTAAACAAAACATTGCCAGAAATCCAGAAAAAATTTAGAATGAAACTTGACCCTCAGCTCCCCTGGGTTTTCTCCTTGGTGTTTCAGAGCACCTGACTATGCTCATAATCCCAAAGGCTGGTGGCAGTAAAACCAACAGAAGTTTCACCACTTGAGTGGGTGGTGGCAAGAACATGAGTAAGAATGAAAGCTGGGGAAAACTTTTTTCCCAAAGTGCTCATGTAAAAAGCTCTATAATATTTATTTATTTGCTGAGGAAGATTCACCCCGAGCTAACATCTATGTCGGTTTTCCTCTATTTTGTATGTGGGTCACCACCACAGCATGGCTGATGAGTGGTCTACGTCTGCACCTGGAAACCAAACCCACTAACCCAGGTCGCCAAAGTGGTGCACGCAGAACTTTAACCACTTGGGCACGGGGCTGGCCCCTTTATTTTGCTTTTAAAATAGCTCTACTGAGGTATAATTGACATGAACTGCAGATATTTAAAATGTTTAATCTGATACATTTTAACATACATAAATACTTGTGAAACCATCACCATGATTAAGATAGTGAACATATCCATCACTCTGAAAGTTTCCTCTTGCCCCTGTTAATTCCTCCCTTCTGCCCCTTTCTGGTCCCCGCTCCCCATCCCAAAGCACCCACAGATCTTTCTGTCACTACAGATTAGTTTGAATTTGCTAGTTTTTTTATGGAACCTCTTTTGTCTGGATCCTTTCACTCAGCATAATTATCCTGAGATTCATTTGTTCATTCATGGTTGCCTGTGTCAACAGTTCATTCCTTTAAAAAGAATTATTTTTTAGAGCAGTTTTAGGTTCACAGCTAAACTGAGCACAAGGTACAGAAATTTATCATATACCTCCATCCCACAGACATGCACAACCTCCCTGTCAACATTCCACACTGCAGTGCAACATCTGTTACAATTGATAAGCATACATTGATGCAACATTATCACCCAGAGTCCACAGTTTAGTCTAGAGTTCACTCTTGGTGGTGTACATTTTATGGGTTTGGACAAATGTGTAAGACATATATCCACCATTGTAGTATCATGCAGAATAATTTCACTGCCTGAAATATCCTCTGTGCTCCAAGTTCACTCCTTTCGATTGTTGAGTAATATTCCACTGTAGGGATATAGAATTTGTTTTTACATTTACCTGTTGATGGGCATTTGGGCTGTTTCTAGTTTTTGTCCATTACAGATTAAATCTGCTATTAACATTATTGTGTCTCTGTCTTCTATTTCTTTGATTTCTACTTTGATCTTTATTATATGTTTTGTTCTGCTTACTTTGGGTTTAATTTGCTCTCTTTTCCTAATCTTTTGTTGTTGTTGTTGTTGTTGTTTTTTGGTGAGGAAGATTGGCCCTAAGCTAGCATCTGCTGCCAATCTTACTTTTTCCATGAGAAAAATTGTCCCTGAGCTAATATCCATGCCAATCTTTCTCTATTTTGTATGTAGGACACTGCCACAGCATGGCTTGATGATCAGTGCATAGGTCTGTACCCGGCATCCAAACCTGCAAATCCTGGGCCATCACAGCAGAGCACGTGAGCTTAACCATTATGCTACAGGGCCAGCCCCTCTATTTGCTTAATATGGAAGCTGAAGCCATTGACTGAAGAATTTTCTTCCTTTCTGCATAAGCATTCAGTGCTATAAATCCCCCCAAGGATGCTCCCGGGGCATACAAGTGTATTTTATTCAGTTTGAACTACTTTATAATTTCCCCTTTGATTTCTTCCTTGAAGAAGTGTGTTATTCAGTTCTCAAATGTTTTGGGATTTTCCAGACATCTTTTTATACTGATTTCTAATTTAATTTCTTGTGGTCAGAAAACAGACTTTGCATGACTTAAGTTCTTTTAATGTTCTTGAGACTTGTTTTATGGCCTAGAATACAGTCTATCTGGTAAACGATCCAAGTGCACTTGAGAACATGTATCTGTGGCTGCCGAGCGGAATGTCAATCAGTCAAGTTGGTAGATAATGCTGATCAAGTCTACTACATCCTTGTTGATTTTCCGCTTCCTACTTCCAGTAGTTACTGAAATCTCTGACTATAATTGTGAATGTGTCTATTTTTCTTGCACTTCTATTTTTGCTTTACGTATTTTGAAGCTCTGTTAATTACATATATAAACATTTAGGATTATGTCCTCTTGATTAACTGATCCCTCTGTCATTATGAAATGATCTTCTTTATCTCTGGTAACATTCTTTGCTATGAAATTTACTTTGTCTGATCTTAATATAGCCACCCCAGCTAACTTTTGATTAATATTAGCATGGTATATATATATGTATATATGTATTTTCATTCTTCTACTTTTAACCCTTTTGTGTTATATTTAAAATGCCCTTTTTTGGTAGACATCATATACTTGGCTATTGATTTTTTATCCAATCAGATCATCTCTGCCTATTAACTGAGTGTTTAAACCAACTTGCTGTTTTCTATTGGTCCCATCTGTCTTTGTTCCCTTTTTCTGCCTTCCTTTGGATTAATAATGTTTATGATTCTATTTTATTTCCTTTGTTGGCTGCTATTAACTCTTTGTTCTGCTATTTTAGTGGTTGTTTTTAAGGTTTATAGAATCCAATCTTTATCATATTTACATCCAAGAGAAATTATACCATTTTTGTATAACATAAGAACCTTACAACAGTGTACTTTCAGTTCTTCCCTCCCAGCCTATATGCATTTGCTGTCATGAATTTTACTTTTATGTGCTATAAACATCACAAAACATTGGTATTATTTTTGTGTAAACAATTTTCTTTTAAAGAAATTTAACAATAAAAACATCTTACATATTTTCTCATGTATTTATCATTTCCACTGTTCTGCATTCCTTTGAGCAGATTCAGATTTTCATCTGGTATAATTCTTCTTCTGCCTGAAGGAGATGCTTTAACATTTCTTACAGTGTGGGTCTGATGGTGATGAATTTTTCCAGCTTTTGTATGTCTGCAAATTTCTTTATTGTGCCTTTCCTTTTCACCTGGTAAAGAATGCTAGGTGGAATAGGTTTTTTCCCAGTGCTTTAAGGATGTTGCTCCACTGCCTTCTCATTTGCCTCTTTTTTCTGACAAGAAATCTGTGTCACCTGTTATTTGTTCTTCTGTACATAACATGTCTTTATTTCCTCCGGCTGCTTTTAAGATTTTTCTCTTTATCACTGGTTTTGAGCAATTGATTATGATGTGTCTCAGTGTAGTTTTCATGTTTTTTGTGGGGGTGATTCATGGACCTTCTCAGGCAGAGTTTTTATAGTTTTCATCAAGCTTGGAAAGTTTCTGGCCATTATTTCCTCAACTTTTTTTCTCTCTCTCCCTTACCTTTTTGGGGACTCGAATTACCCATATAATAGGCTGCTTAAAGTTGTTCCACAGCTCAAGGCTGCTTCTGAAAAATTTTCTTATTCTTTTTCTGTATTTCATGTTAGATAGTTGAATCTTTTCTTCTGCAGTGTCTAATCTGCCATTAATGCCCTTCAGTGTATCTTTCACCTCACACGTTGTTCTCAACTTTAGAAATTTGATTTGGGTAATTTTCCTATCTTCCATCAGTCTACCTAACTTTTTGAAAGTATGGACTACAGTTTAACAATGGTTTTAATATTGTTTTTTGCTAACTCTAACATCTGAATCAGTTGTGGGTTGGTTTCCATTGATCGGTTATTCTCCTAATTACAGGTCATATTTTCTTGCCTCTTTGCATGCCTGGTGTTATGGACTGAATTGTGTCCCCCAGCCCCTAAAAATTCATATGTCGAAGTCCTAACATCTAGTATCTCAGAATGTGACTGTATTTGGAGACAGGGTCTTTAAAGATGCAATTAAGTTAAAATCTGGTCATTAGGGTGGGCCATAATCCAATAAGACTAGTGTCGTCATAAGAAGAAATTAGGACATAGACATACACAGAGGGAAGACTATGTGAGGACACAGGGAGAAGATGGCCATCTACAAGCCAAGGATGGACGCCCCAGAAGAAACCAACCCTGCTGACATCTTGTTCTCAGACTTCCAGCCTCTAGAAGTGTGGAAAAAAAAAAAAGTCTGTTGTTTCAGCCACCCAGCCTGTCATACTTTATTACAGCAGTCCGAGCAAACTAATATACCTCATAATCTTTGACAGGATGCCAGACAAAGGGATTTTTATTTTGTTGGGTGCTGGCTATTTTTACATTCCATAAATATTACTGAATCTTGTTCCTGGATGCAGTTAAGTTACCTGGAAACAGTTTGATTCTTTTGGGGCTTGCTTTTATGATCTTTAGGTGGGTCTAGAGCAGTGCTCAGTCTAGGGCTAATTATTTCCCATTACTGAAGCGTGGCATCCCTGAGCGTTCTACCCAATGTCTTGTGAATTATGGTCTTGCTAGAGGGAACTGAGTCTGTCTCATCCAAACATTCCGGGAAGTTCTTTCCCCAGCCTCAGACAGTCTCCTCATACACACGTGATGAGCAGTGCTCTGCTGAATACTCTCGGTGGCTCCTCTGCAGATCTCCAGGGTTCTCTCTCTGCCTATCTCTCTTCTGGTCCTCTGTCCTATAAACTGTAGCCACGCTGGTCCCCTTAGACTCTCAGCACCATATCCACACTCAGAGTCCACGGGGCTCCACATCAGTTTCGCCCTCCCTGTGCTGCAGCAGAAAGATTCTCTCCAGGCAATAAGCTGAGGTCACTGCAGGGCTTGCCCTATTTGTTTGCCACCTCTCAGAGATTACTGTCTCTTGTCGCCCACTGCACAGTTTTTGAAAATTTTTGTTGCATGCATTTTGTCTGTTTTTGTTGTTGTCTTGGTTATTTCAGAATAAATTCAGTCCCCTGCTACTCCATCTTGGCCACAAGTGGAAGTTCTGTATTTCTTTTAAAAGTGTCTATATTTGGTTTTCACTGATTCCTCTATTACTGTAACCATCAAAATTAAGGAAGAGTGTTTGGTTTTATGCTATTGTATTGACAGATATATTCATAATGTGTATCATATATTATATATATATTCCATTATATTCTCTCATTATATTCTCTCAGGAGGAACAAAATTGTAAAGCCAAGATACATTCCTCAAGACTACTAGTTAAATTTCTTAGTTTATAGGTGGAACTCTTAAGAACAATCTTCAAAATCTTACTTGAACACAGTCAGTATTGGGAGTAATTTCACTCTACAGAATTGAAATTTAAGGCCTTAATAAAATACACAAGAGCAGAGCAATTCATAAATGTCTCTTTGTTCCCAGAGAAGAAAACGAAAAATCATGGGGATGTTGGCAGAGTTGAAGAGCTGGGTGTCCTACTGTGAAAAGGCCTTATTCTCCTGGCAGAGACAAAAATGGTGTACCACTGTAGTATGGCTTGTTTTCAAGGGCATTACTAACCTTGCTTTATTTTTCTTTATGGCACTTTACCAGCCCTTGAAATGTTACTGTATATTTTATGTGCCGCCTTTTTTGCTGTCTTTCTCCTTCATGAGAACATAAGCTCCCTAAGGGTTGGGACTTGTCCCACTCTTGAGCAATGTTTTATCCACACTCTGTAGCACACAGTAGGCCTTCAACAAATATTTGTGAGAGGAACGAAAGAACAAACAAGCAGCAATATTCTCATCATACGCCATACTGTTAACAGAAATTATCCAGGGGAGTTTCATTTTCTCAATTATGTTGTTTCAAGTTTTTCTTTAGAAATCTTTATTAGTTTTGTAATCAGAAAAAAATTAAAATGAGAGAGGAACAGAGAGGGAAAGATGGTCCCTCAGGAGCTGCCTTTCATCATGGCAATTGCCACCGCCCATGGTGGCCTTACAGCTGAACCTCCCTGCCTTGGTCCCTGCAGAATCTCCCTTGCACGTTCTCTTGAGGCCTTGGAGCTGTACTGGCAGGCTCCCAGCTGCCTGAACCGGTGTAACAATCCCTTCCTTCTGGAACCCTAAGCCAAATACCAAATGTCCTATAATGGCAGTCTTCTTATTTTCCTTCCCATAGGTTCTCCCAAGACATGCTTTGTCAAAGTGTGCTGTGTCCCCAAACTGTGAGAATTTCTTTTCTTCTATCTACAGATAGCTCAGCACAACAGGGATGCTGTCAACAAAGTAAGAGCCTAAAAGATGAGATACTCTGAAGATAAATCAGCACAAAAAAATGTCAGAGCAATGAAGGACACACGGGAGACCAGACTAACGCTCTCGAGCCATCCCTGCATCCTCTGCTATAGACCCTCATTAACACATTTGAGTGTAAGAGCTGACAGCTGCCACACATAAAAACTGATAGATAATGAACTCCCTGGGGATAGATACTGTCTTCTTTCATCTTTACATCTCCAGTGCCTAGCACGGCATCTGACCAAGGACAGAAGCACAATAACTGGTGCTGAGTAGAATTATCTATGGGCACCTGACACTAAACATGGCCACTCTGAGGTAGGAATAACATGATATTCCAGGACCAGAAATGGCACAGGTCAAGGCTGAAAGGGTAGGGAGTCTCTATTGTACAAATCATTAGAAGAAAAACAGTTGAAAGTTAAAAGCCATATATCTCTTTTAGGGCCCTGAAATACGGCATCAAAAAGACCTGCTCCAGGGGCCGGTCCTGTGGCTGAGCTGTTACATTTGTGTGCTCTGCTTCAGTGACCCGGGGTTCACCAGTGTGGATCCTGAGCATGGACCTAGACACCACTCATTAAGCCATGCTGTGGTGGCATCCCACATAGAAGAACTAGAATGACTTAAAACTAGGATATACAACTATGTACTGGGGCTTTGGGGAGGGGAGGAAAAAAAAAGAGGAAGATTGGCAACATTCTTCCCCTCCCATTATAAATAGTTTAGTCAACATATCTAAACCTTGCACAGAGATTCCACAAGTCTGATAAGAACTGAAAACAATCTGAATTTTCTTTTCTTTACCCTAAAGCTCAGGGCGAGTTCTTTCAAGTGCTTGTATTCCTTCATTGACACCCTTTCTCTGCTTTCATCTTTGCAAAATGAAGAGTCTCAATCTTCTGAAACTCCTCACACTGGCACCCATCTACCCTGTTTTCTTTCTATGTTCTCAGGACATTTCCAAACCTGGTAAACAGATTACACATGATTAAGACAACTCAAGTCCACAAGTACCATCTCAAGACAAATTCTATTTAGAAACTTAGCCATTTATGTATTAGCAAAACCTGAGAAGTAAGAGTTCTTCCTAGGTCCCACATAATCACTCTATCTTGACCTGGAACGTGAAAAGGTTCCTGTTGATCCTTTTCCCACCTCCACCTCAAACCTAGCTCTACCCTCCTCTCCACTGGGATGTGGGCAGGGCCCTCGTGGAGCCCATGCCCTCCCACTCAGGCCCCCAGAACGGGACAGCACTAGGCAGTGCAGAAGACACACAGCTTCTCAGACACACACCAAGTCATGGATGAGACAACTTCCCATGGGAACCATTTTGTTACCCATTTTGAAACATTGCATGTCAGAAAGAAGAGTCCCTGTTAAGCAGTATGACTGCTCATGTTAATGAGAATTTAAATGTAGGGAAGGAAAGACCTAGTTAGGTTGAGGACAGAGAGCTAAGACCGGGTCCAGGTGGAGAGCCGAAAAGGAAAGTCCCCAGCACCTCCTCTCCCCTGAGTGGATGGCTGTGCTCCTCTCTCAGAGAAGGCAGAGAGCACTCCCAGTGCCCCCCGCACATCTCACCACCTCCCTGGCACCCTGGCCTGCCTTCCTGTCTGGGGACCCTCCACTTGGCCTCGGGGTACTAGGACCCACAGATGCCACACCACCAGCATCCCACACTGCCAGTTTGTCCCCAAGGGACTGTCCCTGTGAGCACGCCAACACACTCTAACAGTGCTGGTCAAAAACTTCCTCCCACTCCAGCTACCTCCCTCATTTTTATTCCCTTTTATGGTACAACTCCTTGAAAAAGCTACCTGCATTTCTCCTCCTCTTCTCCCTTGGCCCACTCCATTAGGCTTTTGCCCCCACCACTCCCATAAGCCACTCTTGTCAACCACTGATCTCCATGTCACCAAATCTAATGGCAGATCACTCTTTGCTTTGCAAGAGGCTTTCTTCGAATGGCTGCCTCAACCCCTTCCTCCCAGCTCTCCTCCCACCTCACTCCCTCACTCCCTCCAGGTCTCCTTGGCTTGAGCCTCCTCTCTTCCCAGCCCCCAAGTGCCCAGGGCCCAGCCATGACTCTGCACACCCTATGCAGGCTAGACGTCAGATGTCGGCCTGAACCCGCTCCTCAACTCCACTTCTTCCTACCCACTCTACTTGCATGTTTAACAAGCACCTCAATATGCCCCAAACCAAACTCATTACCACCCAGAGCACTTGCTCTTCCCACAATTGCCCCACCTCAGCACAAGGCAACTCCAATATTGCTGCTGCTCAGAAGAGAAGCGGCAATTCCTTTCTGACTCCTCGCTCTTTCATACTAATCCATCTTTCATACTAATCTTTCAGCAAATCCTGTCGACAGTTTCTTCAAAACAGATCCAGAACTTCCCCTCATCTCTATGGCTAGCCCTGACCCAAGCCCCCTTCAACTGGGGCCAAGATGACTCCTGCCTGGTCCCCCTGCTCAGCCCCCTAGTCTGTCGTCGTCACAACAGTCAGAGTGACATGGTAATGACTTACATTATATCAAGCCATTCCTCTGCTCTAAAGCAGCCAGTGGCTTTCATTCAAATGTCCCATTCTCAGAAAGACCTCCTGCCACCCAAACCATTCAGACACTACAGTCGCTCCTTACTGGTCAGATTTTTCTCCTCCTGAGCACCAGACGTAGCGTGTACGTATTCGTTTGTCACCTGCCTCCCCCACCAGAGTGTAAAGTCCCTGAGACACGATCCACATCCAGTGCTGCAGCCTCAGCACTTGAAAGAGTTACTGTACATAACATGCACTCAAACTTTACTAAATGAATGGGGGCAAAAAGTGCTGAATAACCAAACAGTACTGTTAAAAATGTTCTAATACCAACAAACGTGTTAATTTATCCTGATGACAACTACATGCACAACAACTGGCTGAGAAGACATACTATAATAGTTTGGGGCAGAAAAGGTGGGGAGGGGTAAATTCTTCTTGACGTAAGTTAACAGTTTTCTCAATACTTCCAACTACGGACGACCACAGTAAAAGATGCCACTGACTGGGTGTCCACTGTGTACCCAGCTTTCACACGTCCGAGCCTCACCCGAGTCCTACGGGGAAGATATTTTTATCCCCACATCACAGAGGAAGAAACAAACTCAGAAAGTTAAGCAACTCAGCCAAGCCACAGGACTAAAAACACTCACTTGAGGCTCAGTTATCTATGAAAGCTTTCCTCTAAAATACCAAATGACACTACGATGGGCACTGAGCCTAAACAATGAGTCTTTCTGCTAACTGGACATCTCAGTCAAGGCTTCCTGGTTTTCACTCTTCCCCATGTTGGCATCTCCTATTGTCTCTGCCACTCCAGATCCTGCCCCTCAGTTCAAGAGGAGACAAATGACTTACCCACTCCCCATGCTGACAGAGCCCCTGGCAAAGCACAAACCCACCGACACTCGAGTTCTGTGGCATCATCTCTGGGTGAAGTGCGCTGATTTAATCTGCCAGTTTTCAAGATCGTATTACAGCAAAACCTTTCCTACAGACTTCACTTTGTAAAGAGTGAAGGAGAAGGAGGATCACGAGCCTAAAAAGGTGCCCCGTCTCCACTGCTGTCAGCCTACCCCTGACAAAATGACCATCTTTATGTCTCTTTCCAAGGCTACCTCCACGATAGTGTCTTCGGGAGCTTTTAATCTACCCAAAAATATCTCCCACGTTTGAGCAGTGTCTGCCCAAAGTTACCATAGAAGACAGACACTCCCCTGAGAAGGGAGAGTACATGTGGGCTGAAAGGAACTGGGAAGCAAGCAGAGACACAAGACACAAAGTCCCACCAAAGACACTGGCGAAGCGCCAAGTCCGAGGGCTAGAATGTGGGCTTGATAAGACAAATCACAACTAGGAAGAGATGCATTCAGCCAGGGCCCCAGTTGAGGCACCATAACAAAGCCTGCCACCTTCCTTGTCACAATCCAGGCACAGACTGTACTCTGGCGGAGTGGAAGGAGAAGGGGGAGGGAGAAAAGCAGACTTCAACTGCAAAACCTAGCTCAGAACACACTCTCATCTTCTGAACCTGTAAAGAAGAGATGAAAAGATACCACACAGAGATGGTTAGATGGTGATTAATATTCACCCCCAGGAAAGCTCAAGTTGAAGGAGACAGACGTTAACCTCAGCCTTAGCCTTTCAGGGTTGTGGTGAAGCCATTAGCAGCTATGGATGAAGTCCCTTCCTTTGGGTCAAGGAGAAACCCAGGGTGATGCCTAAGTTCTTCTTTATTTACATTCGAGGGTCACTGACTAGGGACTCTCCCACGCAGCCCTTTGATCTCCAGCATCCAACAGCCTGTGAGCTGGGAATGGGAAGACAAAGACTAGCTGATGGAAACACACAGACCCCTACATCTTTTTACTGACTTCTTAGGGTCGAAATTAGACCACTTATGCCTTTAATGCATATTCCCAAGAACTCCAGCATTACTGAAAATAACATGAAAGGCCCACAAAATCCCTCATTTGGAAGTACCTCCTTGCACCAGATACTGTGCAAAGCAAAACTAGCATCTAGTTCCTCCTCTCATGGCGTACAGGGTCGAAATATGAGTCAGATAAACATTTACCTTTAAAAATGACACTTTGGTCCGGAAATTTAAAAGACAAAACAAAAAACTGGTCTTTTCGTTGTTGTTGTTTTTACCTCCAAAGTTACTGTTTCCATTTGAATTAGCTGCCAACATTTAAAATGTTGGAGATCACACACACAAATACACACACCCATCTGCTCTGGAGAGACTGGAAGATCTGGCCATGCTGGGGCTACATTCCTGCCATGCAGCAAGAGGACAGGGTGCAGGAGATGCTGCCTCCTTCAGCAGGACACCTCCTCTCACTTCTCCACAGCCCTCAGCATCATCCTGGTCTCCCAGAATTAATGAACAAAAAAATATTTTCTTTAGGGAAGAAAATGTTTTTCTTTAGAAAAAATCCACTTCAGTGTATGTGTGTCTATTCGATATATCATTAGCTAGCCTAAATCAAGAAAAGAAGGGGAGAAAGTGTTAAGTACACAAAACAGGGCACAAGACCAGGGAAACAGCTCCAGATACAGAGGGAAACACTGGATAAAACTACAAAACTGATGATTTTCTATGAACACATAAATCACCAAAACTGAACCCAGAAAGAAACAGCAAACTTAAGAAATTGTGATAGTTATCTAAGTGCTATATGCTAATAACGCACCAGGCTCAAGTAGCTTTATGGGGGAATTCTAACAAAATTTAAAGAAACAGATCCTTTCAAAAGTATTTAAACTGGCTAAAACAGAGAAAGAGTAAGCTTTTAATAAAGCTATAGAAAACACTAAAACAATTTGATAAAGATTGCCTTAAAAAAGAAAATTACAGGGGCTGGCCTGGTGGTGTAGTGGTTAAGTTCGTGTGCTCCACTTCAAGTGGCCTGGGGTTTGCAGGTTCAGATTCTGGGCGCAGACCTACACACCACTCATCAAGCCATGCTGTGGCAGCATCCCACATATAAAAGACAGGAAGACTGGCACAGATGTTAGCTCGGGGCCAATCTTCCTCACCAAAAAAATTAAATTAAATTAAAAAATTACAGACTAGTCCCATAAATAATGGTGTAAAATTACTAAGCAAAATATTAATATATTGAATATGGCTATACGCTAACAGAGTTATCATTAATGATTCAATAATGATGACTCAACAATATAAAATGACAATTCAATAATATAAAACGTATTACTATAACTCAGCATAGTAACAAGTCAAGGGAGAAAAATCTATACTATCATTTCAACGATGCTAAAATAGCATTTAATAAAATTCAACAACCATTTTTCATCAAAAAAAACCTCCAGCAGCAACATACCCGTTAGTAAAATAACTAGTGTGGCAAAAACACTAAAAAAGAGAAAGAGAAAGAAACAAAAAACATAATCAGTAGAATACAAGGGACAAAATCATTATTTGCAGCTGACGATAATATAGCTAGAAAATCCAAGAGAACCAAGTGCAAAAACCACTAAAAACAATAATATCTAAGTTGCCAGTTACAAAATTAATAAACACAACTAACAAGAATATGTAATATAAGGAGGATCCTATTTTCAGTAACAACAAAAAAGATTAACTAGATAAGAATAAACTTAAGAAACGTACAAGATTTTAAAACAAATCAACTTAAAAAACACCTTTCTGAGAAACTGTGGAAATGTGTATACAGACTGGAAATTAGATAATATTAAATTAATAATAGATAATAGGGGCCAGCCCAGTGGCCTAGTGGTTAAGTTTGCACACTCTCCTTCAGCAGCCCAGAGTTTGCGGGTTTGGGTCTTGGGTGTGGACCTACACACTGCTCACTAACCCATTCTGTGGCAGTGTCCCACTTACAAAATAGAGGAAGATTTCACACAGACGTTAGCTCAGGGACAATCTTCCTCAGGCAAAAAGAGGAAGACTGGCAACAGATGTTAGATCAGGGCCAATCTTCTTCACCGCCACCCCCCCCACCCCAAAAAAGATAATAAAATGTTAATTCTGATATATATGATAATAGCGTTGAGATTATATGTATTTCAAGAAGTCCTTATGTGTTCAAGATATATTGTGAAGTATTTATGGATAAAATAATTTGTTTTAAAATATTCCTGTCTCCCACTCTACAAAAAAAATGGAGTGGAGGAAGAATAGGTGATTCAAGATCGGCAAAATATGGAAAACTATTGAAATGAAGTGATGGATACAAAGAAGTTCATTATATTGTTTTCTCTACTTTTGCATATTCAAAAATGTGCATAACAGAAAGTTAAAGGAAATGTGCAGGAGAACTCAAACAAAGGAGGTCATGAAAGACTTAATCCCAAATGTATATAATAGGCTTACAAAACACCAAAAATTGCCACCTAACGATTAAGAAATGCAAATTAAAACTACAAATCAGATGTCATTTTCTGCGAACAAACAGAAAAAGATCAAAACATCTGGTAATACTCAGTATTGGGCGGGGAGGCAGCCAAACAGCTGAAGGCAGTAGGGGTCAGCACAGATGGGAGGGCACTCGTGCTCAAACTTTAAAGTCAAACAGTAGGACGCTGGCCTAGCAATTCCACTTCTGGGAGTTTATTCTAGATAGTCATTCATTCAACAAGTATTTTTTCCTACCTACAATATGCCAGGCACTGGAGATAGAGAGGTGGAGAAAACAGTGACCAGACTCTTATGGGGCTTCCATTCTTGAAAGGGAGGAGACAACCCATAAAGCAAGTCAAGTACTCAGGCAATTACTAGGTGTGGTGAGGGGTAAGCGTGATGAAGGAAACAGTAACAGAAGGGGGCTAGGAATGGCTCAAAGGTTATTCTGGATGGGCTGGGCTATGAAGGCCTCTCTGAGGAGGTGACAGATGAGCAGAGACCTGGGTGAAGGAAAGAACAAAGCAGGAGAATGTCCGGGGGAGCACTTCAGGCAGCAGGGACGGCAGACTGGGGTCACACACAAATTTGGCCTTCCCACCCTCTGCTTTTCTTTTCACTCCTCTAACAGCCTTTTGTTCATCCAAAGGATATGAGCACCACTTGAATGTCTCTTTGTCCTCTGACACAAAAGTAAAAATTAATCAGATCCTTTCATTACAGTACACTTTCCAGGAAAGTGCCAGGCCAGCACTGTCTCCCCAAACATTATTGCGCATCACAACTTGATTTCTTCAAAGGAAAAATTTCCCAATTTATCTAAATGTTATGCAAAGCCTGCTAATAAAAGTGCATTAAAGCCAATTATGAGTTTTTAACACAGATAAAACTCTCCACAGGAGAGAGATTAGATTCCTTTCACAAAAGACATTGACCAGTGGCCAGATAATTTTACACAAAACAAAAATATTGTCAGTCCCTGTCCTCCTGGCAGGATTGGGAACCACTGACTTAGAGGAGTCTATAGTGCAACTTCATGATCTTTTAAGCAATAAAGTTGAAATTTTGAAGGGGCTACTTAAACATTTTACCCTTAAGCGGCCAGTGTCAATTAAGGGCGTTCCAGTCGACTCCAAAAGAAATGACTCTGCCGCACTCTGAGCACATCACATATTAACTTCTTCAAACACCAAGGCTTCAAAACTGCCGCGAATGATAAATTAAGAAACCAGCACGTGGGGAGAGACGTGTCCCTACTAAAGATGCTCCTATATCAAGTTTGAAGTCAGCTCTCCATAAGCGCTCTCCTCTCCTCCCCGAACCCGGGAACGCAAACCACCAGGCGGCTCCGGACTCCCCGGGGACTCCCGAGGACGCGCCGCGGACACACGGCCAGCGCAGCACCGACAGGCTTCCCCGCAGCCGAGGACGCGGCGGCCCCGCGAGCGGCCCCACGGCCCGGCAGGCCCGAGCGGGGAGCGCCGCGCCTCACCACCGGCGTCCGAGCAGAGACGCCGGACGGAGCCGCGAGGTGCCGGCGCGAGGGCCCCGGGGCGGACACGCGGGCCGTCCTCTCCCCGCCGCCCGACCCGTGGGAGCGGCGCTCGTCCCGCAGCCCGGGAGAGGGAGGGGCTCGGCGCGGGGGGCACCGGGGCCGCGACGGGGGCGGGGGCTGCCCGGCCTCCCCGGCGGACCCGGCGGCGGGAGGGCGTCCCCGGAGGTCGGCAGGGGGCAGCGGGGTGGAGGCAGGTGTGGGCGTTCGCGGCGGCAACCGACGGGGCCCGGGGTGCGGGCCGCCGCGCCTACCTGCCCAGCGCCCGCTGCATGCCCGCGTCGGCGGCGCGGCGCGGCTCGGCCGGCCCCTTGCCCGCCAGGCGCAGATTCTGCTTCAGGCGGCAGTCGGCGTCCAGCGCCGCGGCGGCCGCGCCGGAGGAGGACGAGCCCGAGGCGGCGCAGCGCTCCCGCTCCAGGGCGACGGGCTCGAGCCGCTTCCTCATCCCGCGGCCCACACGGCCGGCCGCACACGGCGCCCGCTGGCCTCGCCCGCCCTCGCCGCAGTCGCAGCCGCCGCCGGGCGCCTGCCGCCCTCACATCTCAGCCCGGGTCGCGGCGCCCGGCTACGGACTGGCGCCGGGGCCCCGTCGGCAGCGCCGGCCAATCAGCGCCCGGCTCCCGCCGGCCCCGCCCCCGGCCCGCGCCTCCCGGTTCTGCGGGAGCGCACCCAGCGTCCCCGGCGCCGGACGCAGCCATCTTGGAGAAGGGCGGACGAAGCCGCCCGGGCGTCCCGGTCGGGGCGGGGCGCCTCGGCCCGGGTGCCCAGCGTCGGGAGCGGACGCTCCGCCGGTGCGCAGATCGGGGGCCCCAGCCGGCAGGTCGCGGGCCGGAAGGGGGAGCCCAGCGAGCCGGGGCCCCGCGGGAAGCTGCCTCCCTCCGCTTCCACCCGGGCTTTCCGACGCCCACGCAACACTGGAAACCCAATCTGGATAAACCCCTGGAAATGCTCTTACAAAGGTTTATAAGACAAAAGGAAAAAGGTAACAAGTCACAAATCTAGTGATTTATAACTATTTTCCCACAAGGACTTTACTTAAAAAAATATGGTCTCAGGTACTTTTGTTTGAAACACAAATGTATAGATGCTTAATTTTTAGCTTTTGGGCCGAACATATGAAAACTAAGCTGCTTAAACAATTTACTTTTAAAAAACCTGTATGAGATTTTAGACTTTTATAAAGCAATCAGAACTCGCAGAAGGGGGGAAAATCCATTTCAAAGATAAATTGCCACTTGTGAAACCCAAGTTAAGAACGAATTCAAACCATCCTACAAACAGAAAAGAACAGTTTCACAAATTTCGTTTTATAGCTTTGGCTTTCTTTAATATGGCATTATTATTCACAAACAATCTACCACCAAGAGATTTGCTTACTTATTACAAAGTAACTTTTGTTATTTCAACATTTGTGTCAGTTGAAAATTACTGGCAACTAATAAGATCAATTAGAAATGCCTTTAGAAATTAAATAGCTCCTTGTATTAACTTATAGTGATACTTCGAAATTGCAGAAGAACTTTATTGACTGTATAGCACATATTGCAACCAGCGTTCATATTTGTTTGGATATCTCCAAATAGACTTTTGGAATTTAAAATGGTGAATTCTTTATAAAGTGTTGTAGTAGCATATACCAGAGATTGGGAATCCAGAAACTAAAGTGTAAAAAAATTTTGACCCTATCACTCACAAAATCCTCTTTAATAGAGAAACAAAAAAGCATGGAAAGGAGCGCTAGAGAGAAGACAGAAATGTAAAGGGTACTGAGTCTTTCTTGCTGGCTCTAGGCCCTGCCGATAGTCCTCAACTCTTGGTCCACACTCACTTTCTGAGTGGTATTATCCAGGGTTTAAATACCACCCCACACTGGTGACGCTCACATTTGTATCTCTAGCCCACACCTCTTCCTTGAACCACCGGCTCCTCCATCCAATGGTCTACTCATCTACTCTCATATCCTACAGGTACCTAAATATATTATGTTCAAACCTGAGCTCGCAGCTCTTCTCCCACCCCCAGCTCCATCCATAACCTTCCCCACTTCAGGAGTGGAAACTCTATCCTTGCAGTTCCTCAGGCCAAAAGCCTGGGGTCATCTTTGATTCCTCCCTTCTTATGCCTCAGCGTCTATCACCAAGCTTTGTCAGCTCTCATTTGAAAATCTATCTAGGATCCAACCACTTATCACCTCTACTATCCACACCCTGGGCCAAGCTGCCGTCCTCTCTCACTTGGATTATTTTAACAGCCTAAGTGGTCTCCTGCCTTCACCTTTGCCTCACTTCTGTCTACTTAACTCAGCTGCCACAAAGGTATTTTTAAAAACCTAGGTCCAATCCTGTCACTTGTTTGTTCAAAACACTTTAATGGCTCCCCATCTCACTGAAAATAAAACCAAAAGCTTATTGAGGGCCTACGGGCCTTCCTTACATGGCCTCCAGCCCTCGCCCTGGTCTCAGCCACCGCCCTCTCCCACACTCACCTCCTCCAGTGTCACTGCCTCCCATGCTTGCACACGTCTACCCACACCCCTCCTTGGGCTTGCATTCTTGCTGCTTGGAATTCTCTGCCCACTCTACGGCCACACATCCACGTGGCTTACTCCTTCCCCACTTCAGGTCTGTGCCTTCTCTGAACCCGAATTCAAAACCCTCGGGCCTCACCAGCACCCTCTTGAACCTTCTTGGCTTATTCTCCTTAGCACTTTTCACCAGTAATAGTTACCATCAGTTTATCTGATCTGTATCTATCTATTTCTGTTTTCCCAAACTGGCACGTGGACTTTGAGAGCAAGCACTGTGTTCACTGCTTCATCTTCAGTGTCTGGAACAATCCCCAGGACATAATAGGCACTTCAGAAATATTTGCTGAAGGAATAATGAATCATCACAACCCCTCAGAAGTGGGTACTGTTGTCCCCATTGGACAGGTAAGGAAGTGAGTCTCAGGCCTGGGGTCTGAAATTAAAAAGGTTTATGGCAAAATTAAAAAGGTTTTAGGTTACAATTCTGTAGCACAGTCCACTAGAGAATAGTGTATTCAGTGAAAACACTTCGCTAAATTATCCCTTAATGTTGAGCTGAAAAGGAAATGTCACTCAACGTAAGGGGGAGTGAGGCTTTGTACGCCGTTCCCATGCTCATTTCTCAGATCACACATTACTGTATATTTGCAAGAGAGGAACATAGTTTCTAGGGTTAGCTAGAATGAATCCAAGTAAGCTTTTTAAAAAATAGCCAAATAAAATGAATCGTTTCTACAGCAGTAATTCCCACCTTTGATTCTATATAGTTATGAAAATCTCCATAATCACTTAGACAAGTATATGTCTATGTGAGTTCGTGTTAATCTAGAGCATTTTCCCCCTCAGTAGTTCTTGTGACTAGAGCTATTTTACAAACGTTTTTAAATGACTGCTTTAAAATCAAACGTGGTACTGTGGAGTTGGAAGCTTGAATACAGGGTCTGCCTCTTTACGAGCTGTGAGACCTTGGGCAAGGTATCTGACTTCTGTTTCCTAATCAGCACCAAGAGTCTTAATGACCACGTTGGGATTAATTATGAGACTTAAATGAAATACATGTCCGAATCCCTGCCACACTGGAGCTACCCGATAAAACTTCGTTTCCTGTTACTAGCTGTCAAACCCACACTGCGAAACGCTGCGTCCTAACGGGAACGTAAACCAAGTTTCTGGGCCTGCCTTCTCAACCTCAAAGTGCGCGCCCATTTGAACCTAAAGGAAACGCCATGAATCAAATGGAAAAAGGAAGTTGCGGGGGCGTGCATTTCTCCCGTCTCATGCTGCGCGAGGAGGGGCCTGGTTAGCCGCCTGGGAACTCGAAAAAAGTCTGCGGCTCTCACCACGTGCGGGGTGCTTCCCCGGCGGAGGACCACCACACGCGACTCCGCGCGTCTTGAAGCCGCTGCGCCGTAGAGTGAAGTGTCCCTCTGCCGCCGCCGTACACCGCGAGGCCCAGTAGCGCACTCCTATTGGCTGGGCAGCTTGGCGCCAAAGCACGGAGGGGAGGCGACGATCAGGAGCTGTGGGAGTGGGAAAGACAGGAGCAAAGAGCGGCGGCCGAGAGCCCGGCGACCGTTTGGCGTGAGCCCGGCGGCTGAAAAGGCCGCGGGACCGGGGCGTGTCCGCCATGTTCTGCGAAAAGGCCATGGAGCTGGTCCGCGAGCTGCACCGTGCGCCCGAAGGGCAGCTGCCGGCCTTCAATGTAAGGGGGGGGGGGTCAGGGTAGACAGAGGTGGGCGTGCTGAGGGGTGGGGCCGAGGCGAGCGGGGCGGGGCCGAGGGGAGGGGCGCTGGGGGCGGTCCGGGGGCGGGGGTCGAAGGCGTGCTGGGGGCGGTCCGGGGCGGGGTCGAGGACGGTGCTGGGGGCGGTCCGGGGGCGGGGGGCGAGGGCGGTGCTGGGGGCGGGGCCGAGGGGCGGTGCTGGGGGCAGTCCAGGGGCGGGGTCGAGGGGGGCTGGGGGCGGGGCCGAAGGGGTGCCCGGGGCGGGCGGCTTCCTTGCCGTTCTTCCTTGTGCCTCCCCTGGGGGGTTTACTTTCTCACGGTGTAAGCTGCAAAGTCGGGGACAAAAATTTTGGAAGGTGGCAAAACAAAGAATAGGAGGAAAAAGAAGGCCGTCGCGTTTGTGTCACCCAGCGATACTGTGCCTTTCCCCGTGCGCGTGTCTCTGGTGCCCTCCCATGTGTGGCTTTGTCGCTCTTCCTGTGTGGGAGCAGACACTGACTAGGCAGCCTATGATCTGGCATTTGTTGCGCGCTCAGGCAGAACAGTGTGGTGATGGGAAGCCAGGCCTCTGGAGCCAGGCCGGGATTCTGGCTCTGTCGTGTGATTTGGGAGAGTTGCTCGGGCTTTCCGTGCTCTGCTCTCTCTGCAGAAATGAGGCCGATGGTAACAGTACCCAATGCCTAGTGTGGAGAGGGCTGATGGGTTGGTATATGTCACGTTTCCTGTGCAATGCCTCACACCCAGGAACCGCTAAGTCAGTGTTTGCTATTAATTTTCTTTCTGCCGCTGCTGCTGCTGCTATTTCTCTTGTGATTATTCTTATTTCCCTATTACTGGTCCTCCAGTCAAGGTGCTGAGCACTTGACCTACATTATCTTTTTTTTTATTGAGGTAACATTGGTTTATAACTTTATATAAATTTCAAGTGTACACCATGTTGCGATTTCTGTGCAGAGTACATCATGTTCACCACCCAAAGACTAATTATCATATGTAACCGATATTATCTCTTTTCCTCCTGATAACCCTTTGAAGTCTAAACGGTTATTTTCTGTTTTTTCCAGCTATCTGTTGGAGGCTTGGGGAGATTAAGCATCTTGCCCATGGTGACATAGCCAGTAAGAAGTAAAGCTAGGATTTAAGCCCTGGCAGGCTGGCCCCAGAGCCTGCACTCTGAATTCTGTACTCCACTACTTCCCCCATCATAGGGCGGCGTGTGTGGATGCCAGGGCACTTCTGCTGGGAGCGGGGCACCAAAACAGGTATAGGGTGTAATGTGATAGGTGATACCAAAGAGGTGTAGACAAGGAGCACAAAGGAGAAAGGCCAGTGTGAGTACAGGAGGGGGCAAGTGAGCCATGCCTAGAATGATGAGGTCACCGCTCTGAGAAGGGAGCGAGGCATCCCAGCCAACTGCAGAGACACGGAATCACATAGGAGAGGGTGACTGAAAGATAGGGTGTGCGCACGGCCTACAGAGGTGGGTTCTAGGCCTTTAGTTTGGTATTCATTCATAAGGCGTTCGGAAGCTGGTGGAGGATTTTAGACGGGAGTGAAAGGGTAATTTTTTGTGTTTTGAGGACAAAGCAGGAATATGGGGAATGGATTGGAGAGAAGAAAGAATGGAGGCAGGGAGATAGACCAGGTGAGAGATGTGTATGGTTCAAACTGTGTCTGGTCTGTGGGCCCCGAAATCGGTGCCTGGCTTTAGAGGCTTGAGACAAACAGGACTTGTAACTATTAGAACAGGAGTGGAGATGGGGTGGTTCGTGAATGAGGGGGCTTCTCTCTCAGGGAGCTGAGTAAACAACATTGGAGTTCAGGAGGAAGAGTGTTTGGGGGAAGGTGAGTTTTGTTTTGAACATTAAAGGGCACCTAGTCTGATGATTAGGTCATTTTACAGATGAGGAAACTTGAGTCAGCAGAAATTATGGATCAAGTTAAGATACTTGTCTGAACTTACAGCATATTGGAGGAGGAGCCTCAACATGAATACAGGTTTCCTAGATTCCAGTCTGTTATTCTTTCAACTTCAGGACAGTTACCTCATTTAAAAAGTCAGAAGACAGCAGTGGGAAGTTCACTAGAGATACTGGAATGCAGAGGTATGTGGGCTGTAAATATGGCTCCACACTGGGGTCCAGACAGCTGGGCACTTTGGAGGTCATGGTGCATATGAGGAAACAAGCCCAGAGAGGCAGAGACTTGTCCAACAGGTGCTGGCCTTGGAACCGGCTCCTAAGACTCTTAGTCCAGCTCTCCTTTTCACTCAATTTTAAGATAAGTGTTGGTTTACCACTTTGGGGGAGCCAGGAGTGGAACTTAGACGTTGTAAAGTACTCCTTCTTCTAGGTCTTAGTGTGGTAGGGCGCCTTTTGTTGCATTCACCGTCCACTGATAAACACACCTGCCAGTAGTTGACTCAGCAGGCCTGCAGAGTGGCCCCTCTGTGACACAGCTGAGCAGGGGCAGACTGAGAACTGATCTGATTGATCTGAAGGCTAATAGGCCCATGACCTGCACAGGCTCTCAAGAATCGTTCCTCCCAGGGGGATGATAGTCAGTGGGTATAGAATGGGGACTCTGCCTGGTTCATTCCGGAATCCGTCATGGCTAGGTGCTGTGTTCAGCAAACTGAAGTGATTGTCCACTTTCTACATGCAGAACTGGTAATAGTTTAAGTGAGTTTTAGGAAAATTGTCTTGGGCTCCCAGAGGCTCAGAGCCAGAGGTAGGGGCACAAAATGGATGCAATTCCTACTATAGGTTTAAAAAAATCTAAATCCGAAAGTTTGTGTGTATTTTTGCAAAATTATTTCACACTTGTCTTTTGTATACCTGCAGATTTATTAATTGTACAAGAGTTTCAACTATTCCTTAAAATAATATTTGTTGATAAAAGGAATATTTAACTGAATTCTAATGTCAGACTTTTCCGTGGTCTCTTTTTAACCCGCTGATGAAAGTGAAGGTGGAAATCATGCTTACGTTTTTCATCAGAAATTACGTCTTTTGTTTTCTTTGAGCAGGGTTAAGTAATTGATTTTGTAATTCTATCAGTTATGCCAAAGCATTTTTGCTAATGCTTATATTTTGACACTAAAACTAGAATAGGAAAAGTAGATGAGTTGCTTGTCTTTTTATTGTTGACAAACTTATTGTGAAACATTTATGAATTTCAGAATTCTGTTTTTATCCTTCCGAGGCAAATTTTTTTAAACTTTGCCCCAAGGTGGACAGTAGAAAAACTCCTTTGGCCTTTCTATTCTTGTAGTAAAACCAAAACAACTGTTCCTTTTTTTTTTTTTGTAGTAATCTTTTAAGACCAGTTTTCAATAAATAATAAATTATTCACATACTTTTGTCATAGCTTATTGCTTCTGTAGGACTATTGATTTTTTTGTTGTCAGTTTTATTGAGGGATAATTTATATACAACAAAATACACTCTTTAACAGACTTTTGAGTTTTGACAAATGTATACATCCATATATATATATAAAACCAGCACCCCAATCAAGATTTCTGTCACCCCAAGGGCTCCTTTTTCCCCTTTGAAGCTACCTCCTACCTGTAGCCTTAGGCAACCAAGGATTTATTTTCCATGACTACAGATTATATTTGTCTTTTTTTTTTAAAGATTTTATTTTTTTCCTTTTTCTCCCCAAAGCCCCCCGGTACATAGTTGTATATTCTTCGTTGTGCGTCCTTCTAGTTGTGGCATGTGGGACGCTGCCTCAGCGTGGTCTGATGAGCGGTGCCATGTCCACGCCCAGGATTCGAACCAACGAAACACTGGGCCGCCTGCAGTGGAGCACTCGAACTTAACCACTCGGCCACGGGGCCAGCCCCTATATTTGTCTTTTTTACATATTTCTGGATTCAGTATGTCAGGAGTTGCAAATTTTCTGTCAAGGGCCAGATGGAATCATGGAGTATGTATTCCTATATGTCTGACTTCGTTTGCTCAGTACAGTGTATTTGAGATGATCCTTAATCAATATGTTGATTATGTATATTGTGTATGTTGTTAGTAATTCATTCCTTTTTATTGTTTTTCTATTTTTTATTGTAGTAAAATTTGCCATTTTAACCATTTTTATCTGTACACTTCAGTGGCATTAATTACATTCACATTGTTGTGTAACCATCACCACTATTTCCAAAACTTTTTCATTACCCCAAACAGAAACTCTGTAACCATTAAGCTGTAACTCCCCATTCCCCTCATCCCCCAGCCCCTGGTAACCTCTAATCTACTTTCTGTCTCTATGAACTTGCCTCTTCTAGATATTTCAGATAAGTGGAATCCTACATTTGTCCTTTTGTGTCTGGCTTATTTCACTTAGCATGTTTTCAAGGTTCATTCATGTTGATGCATGTATCACTGCTTCATTCCTTTTGTTTTTTTGGGGTTTTTTTGAGGAAGATTAGCCCTGAGCTAACTACTGCCAATCCTCCTCTTTTTGCTGAGGAAGACTGGCCCTGAGCTAACATCCATGCCCATCTTCCTCTACTTTATACGGGGGATGCCTGCCACAGCATGGCATGCCAAGTGGTGCCATGTCTGCACCCAGGATCCGAACTAGCAAACCCAGGGCTACCAAGAAGTGGAACGTGCGCCGCCAGGCCAGCCCCAGCTTCATTCCTTTTTATGGCCAAATAATATTCCATTGAATGGATAGACCATATTTGGTTTATTGATTCATCAGTTGATGACATTTGGGTTGTTCCCACTTTTTGTTTATTATGAATAATGCTGCTCTGAACATTTGTATACAAGTTTTAAAAAAAAATTTATTAAGGTCATAATAGGTTATAACATTCTGAAACTTTAGTTGTACATTATTGTCAGTCACCATATATATGTGCCCTTGTACCCCTTATGCCAACCCCTCAACCCCTTCCCCTCTGGTGACCACCAATCTGTTCTCTGTATCTATGTGTTTGGTGGTGGTTGTGTTTTTCTTTTTCCCCTATTTTCCACATATGAGTGAAATCATACAGTATTTGTCTTTCTCCATCTGACTTATTTCACTTAGCATAATATCCTTAAGGTCCATCTCTCTGGTCCCAAATAGCAAGGTTTCATCCTTTTTTAATGGCTGTGTAATATTCCATTGTGTATATATACCATATCTTTATCCATTCATCTGTCAGTGGGCACTTAGGTTGTTTCCATGTCTTGGCTATTCTGAATAATGCTGCAGTGAACATAGGGGTGCATAAGTCTCTTTGAATTGTTGATCAAGTTCTTCAGGTAAATACCCAGATGTGGAACAGCTGGGTCACATGGTAGTTTTATTGTTAATTTTGGGGGGAATCTCTATACTGTATTCCACAGTGGCTGTACCAGTTTACATTCCCACTCAGTGTACAAGGGTTCCCTTTTCTCCACATCCTCTCCAACACTTGTTATTTCTTCTCTTTTTAATAATAGCCATTCTAATGGGCATGCGATGCTATCTCCTTGTGGTTTTGATTTGCATTTATCTAATAATTAGTTGTGTTGAACATCTTTTCATGTGCCTGTTGTCCATCTGTGTATCTTCTTTGGAAAAATGTCTGTTCGGATCCTCTGCCCATTTTTTAATTGGATTGTTTGCTCTTTTGTTCTTGAGTTGTATGAGTTCTTTATATATTTTGGAAATTAACCCCTTGTCAGGTATATGATTTGCAAATATCTTCTCCCAAACAGTAGGTTGTCATATTGTTTTGTTGATGGTTTCCTTTGCTGTGCACAAGCGTTTTAGTCTGATGTAGTCCCATTTGTTTATTTTTGCTGTTTCCCTTGCCTGAGGAGACATTCCAAAAAGATGCTGCTAAGACTGATGTCAAAGAGCATACTGCCTATGTTTTCTTCTCAGAGTTTTATGGTTTCTGGTCTTACATTCAAGTCTTTAATCCATTTTGAGTTAATTTTTGTGCATGGTGTAAGATAGTGTCTACTTTCATTCTTTTGCATGTGGCTGGTTTTCCAACACCATTTATTGAAGAGACTTTCCTTTCTCCATTGTTCTTGCTCCTCTGTCAAAGATTAGCTGTCCATTGATGTGTGCATTTATTTTTAGTTTTAGGCTCTCAGCGCTGTTCCCTCAATCACTTGTCTGTTTTTCTGCTGATACCATGCTGTTTTGATTACTGTAGCTTTGTAGTATAATTTGAGGTCAGGGAGTGTAAGACTTCCAGCTTTGTTCTTTTTCCTCAGGATTTCTTTGGCTCTTTGGGGTCTTTTGTTGTTCCATGTAAATTTTAGGATTCTTTGTTCTGTTTCTGTGGAAAATGTTGTTGGGATTTTGATAGGGATCACATTGAATCTGTAGATTGCTTTAGGAAGTATGGACATTTTAACTATGTTAATTCCTGCAATCCATGAGCACAGAATCTTTCCATTTCTTTGTGTCGTCTTTGATTTCTTTCAACAATGTCTTACAGTTTTTGATGTACAGGTCTTTCACTTCCTTCGTTAAATTTATTCCTAGATGTTTTATTCTTTTTGTTGCAAATGTAAATGGGGTTGTTTCCTTGATTTTTCTCTCTGCCAGTTCATTGTTAGTGTATAGCATTGCTACTGATTTTTGTATGTTGATTTTGTACCCTGCAACTTTACTGTATTTGTTTATTGTCTCTAATAATTTTTTGGTGGATTCTTTATGGCTTTCTCTATATAAAACTATGTCATCCACAAATAATGACATTTTTACCCCTTCCTTTCCAATTTGGATCCCTTTTCTTTCTTTTTCCTGCCTAATTGCTCTGGCTGGGACTTTCAAAACTATGTTGAATAAGAGTGGCGAGAGTGGGCACCCTTGTCTTGTTCCTGTTCTCAGAGGGATGGCTTTCAGTTTTTCACCATTGAGTATGATGTTGGCTGTGGGTTTGTCATATATGGCCTTTATTATGTTGTACTTCCCTTTTATACCCCTTTTATTCAGAGTTTTTATCATAAATATATGCTGTATGTTGTCAAATGCATTCTCTGCATCTATTGAGATGATCGTGATTTTTATCCTTCATTCTGTAATGTGGTGTATCACACTGATTGGCAGATACTGAACCATTCTTGCATCCCTGGAATAAATCCCACTTGGTGGTAGTGTATAATTTTTTTAATGTATTGTTTTCTTGGTTTGCTAATATTTTGTTGAAGATTTTTACATCTATGTTCATCAGTGATAATGGCCTATCACTTTCTTTTTCTGTGTTGTCCTTGTCTGGGTTGGTGTCAGGGTTATGTTGGCCTCATAAAATGAGTTAGAAAGTGTTCCCTTCTCTTTAATTTTTTGGAATAGTTTGAGAAGGACAGGTATTAAATCCTCTTTGAATGTTTGGTAGAATTCTCCAGAGAAACCATCCAGTCCTGGACTTTTATTTTTGGGGAGGTTTTTAAATTATTTTTTCAGTCACCTTACTAGTGATGGGTCTATTCAGATTCTCTATTTCTTGATTCAGTTTTGGGAGGTTGTTTGATTCTAAGAATTTATCCGTTTCTTCTAGGCTATCTAATTTTTTGGTGTATAGGTTTTCATAGTATTCTCATCCTTTGTATTTCTGTAATACCTGTTCTAATTTCTCCTCTTTTGTTATTTATTTCATTTATTTGAGGCTTCTCTTTTTCTTAGTCAGTCTTCCTAAGGGTTTCTCAATTTTGTTTATCCTTTCAAAGAACCAGGTCCTAGTTTCATTGATCTTTTCTGTTGTCTTTTTAGTCTCTATTTCATTTATTTCCCCTCTGATTTTTATCATTTCCTTCCTTCTGTTGACTTTTGGCTTCATTTATTCTTCTTTTTCTAGTTCCTTTAGGTGTAATATTAGATTGTTTGAGATTTTTCTTGGTCTTGAGGTAGGCCTGTATTGCTATAAACTTTCCTCTTAGTACTGCTTTTGCTGTGTCCCATTTTGGGCTGTTAGGAATGATACTGCTCTGAACATTTGTATACAAGTTTTTGTATGAATATATGTTTTCAGTTCTCTTGAGTGTATACCTAGGAGTAGAATTGCTGGATAATATGGTACTTTTATGTTTAACTTTTTGATGAACCATCAGACTATTTTCCACAGACTGCACTGTTTTACATTCCTACTTGCAATGTATGAGGGTTCCAGTTTCTCCCCATCCTCGCCAATGCTTATTATTGTAGCCATTCTAGTAGGTGTTTTTGCTTTTTGATAAGATGTGTAAATCAAAGAAAAGCATAGTATGATAGAATATTGCCACAGACTTGCTGGAAGAATTAATGAATGTGTATCAATATTACTTCATATGTTCTAGGAGGATGGACTCCGGCAAGTTCTGGAGGAGATGAAAGCCTTATATGAACAAAACCAGTCTGATGTGTAAGTTTTAAGATTGATGAAAGAATTAAGATACTGAAATCAGATAATCTTACCTCAGTTTTTAGATGTGATTTTCTGTCTCTGTGAGCCTAATCATACTCTCACTGTACAGATTATCACAGGACAAGAGGGATTTGTGTTGGTCACTGCTGTATCTTTGGAAATTCAAATAGTGCTTGGCATATGGTGGATGCTCAATAAATATTTGTTGTTTGACTGACATGACTTGAAATAAATTAGGGTAGACCTAAAAGACACGAGCAAGTAGAAACCCTAACAAGGTGAAATATATAGTTTCCACTGCTTGTTTTCATTGATAGATGCCTTAATGTGTTAAAGGGAGAATGGGCAGTTTGTAAACTTAGCAGGAGCAGCATTGTTCCTGATAGGTGGAGTAAAGTTCGCAAAGGCTATGGCTTGGTGGGTGAGGGGGCTCTAGATTTATGGAAGATTTAAAGCTAACCGTGGTAGTTGGTGCGATGGAGAATTTGGGCTGTAGGACAGATTTTCTAGGTTCCCAGGGTCTGTGAAGAGTAAGACACCAAAGAGTACCAACTGCTGGCTGAAAGGTGAGGTATTCAAATCTCCACCTAGAGAGAAGTCTGTCTGTGACATGAGGTTTGTCTTTGGCCTTGTTAGGTACACTGTTTATCAGTTACTTGGACATAGAAATCACTAGCATGCTGGTAAGATTTGTGGAGCACACAGAACCACAGGAGCATTTTCCCATCTTAAGTTGTGCTTAAGAATAGACACAGAAAAATCTTTATAAATAGAATGAGGAACTGCACCCCAACAGGTCTGCAGTAAACATGAAGTTCTGAACTCAAGTTCTCAGGCGATTCATTCATTCACTTAACAAACATGTACTAAACGACTGGGTGCCACTAAGAAGCTCTGGTATTCCAATTGTAAGCCACATAGTCAAGATTTCTGCCCCGATGGCTGTCACAGTCCAGTGTGGAAGACAGATGTGAAATACACATCTACCAAACTGGGATACAAGCTATGAAGGAAAGCAACAGAGTGCTAGGAGAGAGAAGAGTGAAGTGAAGGTATAATTAGATTCAGGAAACAGGGACGTTCTCTCCAAGGAAGAGACATTTCAGCTGAGGCCTAAAGGAGAAATAGACTTTAGCCAGGCAGTAGTTGTGGGCAGAGAGCATTCTAGGTAGAGGGAACAGCATATGCAAAGGCCCTGAGTCATGAAAGAGGGTGAGATGCTCAGGAAACTGACACTTGAAGGCCAGTGGGGCTGAAGCTTAATAAGCAGGCAAAGGGTGATGCCAGGTGACATTTTTAAGCATATGGGGCAGGTGGTGGCACATTTGTGATTTAAAAGATTACCTTGGATCCTGTGTGGACTGTGGATGGAGGGACTGAGAGGAGAGGGAGGCATCCTGTTATCTAGGTGATGGGAGAGGTGACCTGGACTAGGTAAAAAGTGAACAGGTTAAAGACATATTTCAGAGGTGGCTTAATAGGACTGGATCCAGTCGGAATGATTTTCGTGTCTTCCCTGTATTTGAACCATCTGCAAATTCATGATCCAAAATTCTGTGCCCCATCCTCCTAGTTTCTTTTTTGGGGAGACAATCACCATTACCAGTGTCTGGTTAAAAATTATTTGTCAAAATAATTTGACAATAACTTAATCTATATTTTGCCTCTTTTTCAGGGCCTGTAGCAGGCACTGCATGAAGATATCCTCGTACTCATCTCGTTCCTTTTAAAACTCCGAAGTAGATTTTTATTCATTCTGTAAATCTGGTTATGTTTTGTTTTTCCCAATTTTATTTTTATTGTGGTAAAATACATACAACATAAAATTTGCCATCTTAACCATTTTTCATCCTACAGTTGAGTGTAGTAAATGCATTCATAGTGCTGGGCAGTCATCACCACCATCCATCCTCGTATCTCTTCCTCTCATAATACTGAAACTCTGTACCCGTTGAACAATTGTATATCTGGTTTTTAAATGTCATACTTGTCTAATATCTAAGAAGATGTAGATTTTATAGGGTAAAACCAAAATTTTCTCCCTCTTTTTGTGAAGAACACTGAGTGTAGTACATGCACATAGTCGAAGATCAAGAAATGTTTGTTGGATGATTGAAGGACCATTTTAACTCATTTTACTATAACAAGGATTTGGAATAGAAACACGATATAAGACCATAATCTTATGAACTCTGATGTCAGGTTTGTCTCTTGTCCCAGCATGGTACAGGGATTCTAGAAAGTGAGTAAACACAGTGTTTGTCTTTTGGAAATAATGGAGAATAATCAGTGTGCAAAAATGCAAAGTACCAAATGGTTAAATGAAATGCTGGTGGTATGATCTTAGGCAAATTATTTAGCTTTTGGCTTTTTTATCTTTAACATAGTAGTAAAAGCTCTGTTGTGGAGGCAGGTACTATTTGCTTAGGTTAACTGCTAACCATAAATAGGTTAACACAAGCATGGAAGTCAGTTGTTAGTTGGCTTTGAAAATTTTACTTATAGTAAAATATACATATTTGTTCTTTTCCTCTTTAAATGTTCTCACCAGGAATGAAGCGAAGTCAGGTGGGCGAGGTGATTTGATACCAACCATCAAATTTCGACACTGTTCTTTGTTAAGAAATCGACGCTGCACTGTAGCATACCTGTAAGCTTCTCAGTTTTTGCTTGGAGTGGCAGGGAACGATGGAGGGGTTTTTGTGTGGTTTCCTAATTAGCCATTTCAAATGGATAACAGGATTTCTTAGATTTGTTTTTCCTTGATAAGCATTCTAAACTCTCTTTTTTCCATTTAAAATTTTCTTATTATGAAAAATTTCAGCATTTGTAAAACTAGGAGAATAAGATAACAAACCCCCTTGGTTATATAGGTTTAACAGTTTTTAACATTTTGCCATGTTTGCTTCATCTTGTTTTATTTGTCCATGGCAGACATTTTCCTGCTGAACACTTCAGTATGCATCTCTAAGAAAAGTGCCTTTTGGACCTTTTCTCCCATGACGTTGTACCATTCTCATACCTAGAAAAGTGAACAAGCCTTCCCAGCATCTAGTCAGTTCACATGTATGTTTCCCCATTGTCCCAAAGATCTTCTTACAGTTTGTTCATTTGCCTCGGGAGCCAAAGAAAGTCCACATATTACACTGAGGTTGCTGTAGTCTTGAGTCTCTCCTGATCAAAACAACTTCTGATGTCCCTTTTGTTATGCCATCTAATACCTTCTTAATGTCCTAGGTATGACCGATTGCTTCGAATTAGAGCACTCAGGTGGGAATATGGCAGTGTCTTGCCAAATGCTTTACGATTTCACATGTCTGCTGAAGAAGTAAGTTAGCACTGTTCAACTTTATGAATTTGGAAAATGCTGAGGTTCTGGCATTGTTCTGTAATAGTATTTATGGTATTTCTCTTTTTGTTTTTAACATCTGGTTTTCAGCAGTTCTTGGTGTGTATTTATTTATTATATACTGTGATGAGGATGGTAGGAGTAATTCTAAATGCAAGGCTATATGGAAAACTGTGTTATTGCTTAACAAAATAAAGGATCCCTTATGTTATTTATTAGTGATCCATTAGTAGGATTAAAAAACTGGCATTATTGGGGCCGGCCCATGGCCGAGTGGTTAAGTTTGCACGCTCCGCCTTCGGTGGCCCAGGGTTTCACCGGTTTGGATCTTGGGCTCAGACATGGCATCACTCATCAGACCACGTTGAGGTGGCTTCCCACATGCCACAACTAGGAGGACCCACAACTAAAATATATATTTACAACTATGTACTGGGGGAATTGGGGGAGGAAAAAAAAAAAGATTGGCAACAGTTGTTAGCTCAGGTGCCAATATTTAAAAAAAAAAACAAAAGCAAAACTGGCATTATTATTTGGGGGTTTTCCATAAAGTGTCAGAGTGTGTGTGTGTGTGTCTATAGTATTTTCAGTATATTCACAGTTATGCATTCATTATCACCATCTTATTCCAGAACATTTTCATCACTCCCCCCAAAAACCTTGTAAACGTTATCATTTACTTCATATTCTCTCCCCTCCTCTCAGCTCCTGGAAATCACTATTCTATTTCCTCCATAGATTTGCCTATTGTGGCTTTTTCATGTAAGTAAGTCATGCAACGTGTGGCCTTTTGTGTCTTTCACTTAGCATGTTTTCAAGGCTCATCCATGTGGTAACATGTGTCAGAACTTCATTCTGATTTATGGCTGAATAATATTCCATTGTACAGATGTACATATCTCATCCATTCCTCAGTTGATGGACATTTGAGTGTTTTTCTCAACAATGTTTTACAGTTTTCAGGAAAACTGTCAATGCAGAGTTTTAAGAGATTATAATTCTGAAATGGTGTATTTTTCATGATTCTCTTTGTGGTGGAATGTTCCTTAGGTCTGTGATTAAGTACGCTGGGATGTAAGTTCTACAAGAACAGAGATTTTTGTTCACTTTGTTAAATGATCCATCCTGAGTACCCAGATCAGTGCCTGGTTCACAGCAAGCAGTCAATAATATTTGTCCCTTAAATGAATTAATGGTCGCAGTATGGGGATGGGGATGTGTGCTGCTTCTGAAAGGCTAAGTGTACAATTTCTTCAAGTTTGTTTTCTTATAACTTTGTCAAATGACCATCTTTATGTTTGCAGATGGAGTGGTTCAATCATTATAAAAAATCCCTTGCTACTTATATGAGGTCACTGGGAGGAGATGAAGGTTTGGACATTACACAGGATATGAAACCTCCAAAAAGCCTATATATAGAAGTGAGTATACTTTTGTAAAATGGATTTTTCTTTAGCACGTAGGTTGTGCTGACTTTGGTCTAAGAAGAGGAGGGTATATGAATATATATCAGCTTATATTAAAAAAGAAAGGAAACATAAACCCAAACCAAAAATGTTACCTCTGGGGGAATGGCGGGAATAGGATAAAACAGCTAAATCCTTTTAATATACCTCTTTTAACAGTTTTAACTTTGAAACCATGTAGGTATTTTACATATTATTAAAACAAAATTAAATCAAAGTGGAAAAGCAACCCACAAAGTTTGAAAGCACAAAGAAACAAACGAACCTGTGTTTCAAGTTGGTGGATTAGTCAAACAGGAAATATTTTAAATTACTTTAAAACACATCACTTTATTGTACATCTCTAGTGGGTGTGTTCTAAGCATGAAAAGAATTACAAAGAAAGTGTAACCTGTTTTTAGTGATTATATTAGTAATATTGTTTACTGTTATTTTGTAACAATTTATATATTGACGGATAGAGCAAAAAAGTAATGGCACTAGGAACCAAAATACTCAAAATAAGAGAAAAGGATTCAAATATTAAAATGAAAAAGTTAAGTGAAAATCCTGTATTCCACGGGGCCGGCCCTGTGGCCAAGTGGTTAAGTTCACGCACTCCACTGCAGGCCGCCCAGGGTTTTGTCGGTTCGAATCCTGGGCGTGGACAGGGCACCGCTCATCGAGCCATGCTGGTGCGGTGTCCCACATGCCACAACTAGAAGGACCCACAACTAAGAATATACCACTATGTACTGGGGGGCTTTGGGGAGAAAAAGGAAAAGGATAAAATCTTTAAAAAAAAAAAAGAAAATCCTATATTCCCAAACTCGAGTTGAAATATCAGCATGGACTCATGTTAAATCGTCTCTTTTTCTAAAAAAGTATTTCTTAGCTCTGTCTGCTGCAAAGGCCTAGATAAAAAGTGTACAATCTGAGCAGGGAACACCTTGTCTTCCTAAAAAGCAAAGAAAGTGTCGAGGACCACATGAGGAGTGCGAAAAGGGCTGGAGAGCCCATTTGAAGGAGTGCTCACTGGCCAAGGAAGGGACAGTTTGAGCATCAAGATTATTAACTGCAGTGAACTGAATCACATCCGTTACATTAGAAGCACGAATGCGTAACGACAACAAAGACCAAACAACAATTAAAAAAATAAAACATCTTTGGGTCCGCTTGGAGAATACAAGGAATGTAGCTCATTTTGAAAAGTGGTAAATAAAAGAATGGAATCAAATATCCATCTGCCTTTGCTGTACAAACTGTCTCAGGGTAGCCAATTTGTTTACAAGGGAAATTTCTTTTGTTTTTTTTGAGGAAGATTAGCCCTGAGCTAACATCTGCTGCCAATCCTCTTTTTGCTGAGAAAGACTGGCCCTGAGCTAACATCCGTGCCCATCTTCCTCTACTTTATATGTGGGACACCTACCACAGCATGGCTTGCTAAGTAGCGTTGTGTCCGCACCTGGGATCCAAACCGGCAAACCTCGGGCTGCCGAAGCAGAATGTGCGCACTTAACCGCTGTGCCACCAGGCCAGCCCCGGAAATTCGTTTCTTATAGAAGAATTCCAGCTAATAAAAGCAGCAGGAATCAAAGAACTAGATTAATGCTGTTTTGTAGCCCTAATGCATGCAGGCAAATAGCTACTGAAACCATTAGGTGAAAAGTTAACGGACACCTTAATAATGGATGGATATGGAAAGGCAGGTATGACACCTGGACCCATTGATCAGTCTTAACATCCAAAAAGGGACAACCAGACATTTTGCGCTTCGGAAAGCCTTCTAACAGGATGTATGTCACACCATTTGCCAGGAAATCAAACCTGATCTGATCCAGCCCCTAGACCTAACTTCCAGTTTATAGGAAATTCAAGGACAGAGGAACATGTTAAATGACCCCACAGGAATCCACAACAAAATCCAGTTTGTGGGAAACTACCAAACAAGCTGCCCAGTTTCTTTAACAAATACATTGCCAACAGGAAGGGGGAAAAGGGAGAGAACCCTCTAGATTAAAAGATAGTGGGAGATGTATCAGAAGCGTGTAATATGTAGCTCTTGTTGGACTCTGACTTGAACATGGCAACTTTAAAAAAATTCAGGAGCCAGATGGGGAAATTTGGACACTAAGTGGATATTTCATATTAAAAATTATTAATAAGATGCAATAATGGTTTGAGATTATGTTTTTAAAAAAGAACCTTATTTGGTAGAAGTACATACTAAAATATTTATAGAAGAAATGAAATGATATCTAGGGTTTGCCTCAAAATAATCCTGAAGTGGATGAGGCAACAAGATTGACCACATGTTGATAATTGTTGAAGCCAGTTGGTGGGACATGAGGTTTCATCATATTAGTCTTTTTACTTTTGAATATGTTTGAGATTTGCCATAGTAAAAGTCTATTTAAAGAAGCAAAAAGGTGGTAGGGGGGATTTTTCTAAAAGAGTATTTCTCGAACGAAGTTAAAATACCTTTGGGAGTATGATAAGATTCCGGAGGGATCACAGGACATTATGAAATTATATAGGAAAAGTAGAAGACTAGAACTCACTGCTGGAGCTGGCTTTACTAATACCGCAGCTAGCACTCAGGAGAATCAACTCGAGTCCTGAGTTCTCACAGGAGATGAAAAATGTCCTCCTGCTTTCCTGTGGCAGCACGTCGAGCTGCAGCCAGGTCTGTGGCCTCTCTAAAGACACATTTGAACAGTCCTTCTCTGCAGTTGCAGAAGTAGTTATCAAAAAGCTGCCTTACACCTCCCGGTTCCGACTAAGAATCTCTCCTGTTTCTTACAACATGAGTCTTTCATGGTGTACTTCTAAGTATTCCTGGGAAACAGTCTGAATATCGAAGGAGATTGGAATAATCTCTGGGCTTTTTTTTTTTAAACATTTTATTTTTCCTTTTTCTCCCCAAAGCCCCCCCGGTACATAGTTCTGTAATTTTAGTTGTGGGTCCTTCTAGTTGTGGCATGTGGGACGCCGCCTCAGCGTGGCTTGATGAGCAGTGCCATGTCCGCACCCCAGATTCAAACCAGCGAAACCCTGGGCTGCCGAAGTGGAGCGCGCAAAATTAACCACTCGGCCACGGGGCCAGCCCTCTGGAATAATGTCTTTAAAACCGAAATTTTGCAGACTTAACCTATGTCCTCTTCTCAGATATTGATATTTTATGGGAGGGATCTTTAAGAGGAAGGTTGGAGTAGATCTAAAACATTCTCTTTTTTTGTAGATATGTATTTCAACTCTCGGTTTTTCAGAATTTGCAGAGGGGAAGGAATCCAGTGATCTTGTCTCCCCATAGCACCCTGCTGGGTTTCCTTGCTGTCAGTGTTGACATACACAGACATTTGGAAATTTTGACATTCGTCTTCCTCCTCATCAAAACAGGACAGCTGGACCCACTAGAGTACCCCAGGAAGGAGTACTAGGCCTAGCTACAGAGAAGAAACAAACAGATAGAATGCCCAGTACTTCTGCTGTATGGGTATTTAGATAACCTCCATTTACTTTATGGGCACTACATATTAAAAAATAGTTTAGATGAAACATCAGTTTTTCGTTTCAGGTACGGTGTCTAAAAGACTATGGAGAATTTGAAGTTGATGATGGTACTTCAGTCCTATTAAAAAAAAATAGCCAGGTATTTCTTGTCTTAAGATACCTTAAATCCTGTAAGAGTCCTGAATGATGGAAATGTTGGAATCGGGAGAAAAATAAATATCACCTTGTGATGGTCATTTGTATCATAGGCATTATTTCAGTATGACACCCTGTTTTGTTCTTTTTCTAAATATAAGGACTTGAAGCAAATGTTGCATATAGTAAGAATAGTTTTGTTAATTTACCTAGGGTATTGCTTGTATTTAACACTAAGCATTTTCCTGGGAAATTATCACAATGGGCCTTATTCTAGTTAAATGGGCTATTAAATTGTTGGATTTAGCTCCTTTCTTCGAATTATAATTTATTAAAAAGTGCTAAGCACTTGTTTTCAGCTTGTACTTCACCTTTTAAATCCTAGTTCTTTAGCAAACAAATAATGATATGGATCAAAATTTTCTCAGTATTTCATATATAAACATAACAATTTAACAAAGAAAGATTAAAATTGTGAAGCTGTGACTGAAACTAAAGTTTTCCTTATAAAGAATCTCAATATATTTATTGTTTCCTTAGAAATCTTCAAGTTCACATTAGGTGAATTCACATTAGCTAAATTTATTTTTATCCTACCTCAGTTTTCTGTGGTCACGTTAGCAGAAGAGGAAAACTGACCTAATGAAAACCACTCCCCTGCTTTCTTTGCCTCCCATCTTATCATCAACCAGTTAGAGTCCAATGACCCTAAATCCTTGAGGTTGATTTTGTTTATGTCCTGGAGCAAAAGCATACTTCAGGTCTTGTGGTTTTTGGGCTTGTTTCCCTCAGAAAGGCTAAGTCGATCTCTCATTTTACTAGAACCTTGGAGCTTTAAATAGTTTCCTAAAACAAAGGTTGAATATTTTAAAGACAGATTTTCAAGGTACATTAAAATCTTTGGTTGTTAAGGCAGAACTTTCCCTCCCAGCGTCCTCTTTGCAGTAGGCTACCGATGAATAGAAAGCAGGTGATGAACTAATGCGCTCAGAAAGATCTGTATTTCTGGAGCACAGCGTGAGGCTCTGGTTCACAAGAGCAAAACTACCCTCATAAAGTAAGACACGAGAAAACGTCACTTCACCTCAAACACTGTCCTGTGGCTGACTTTCTCTCTCAACTTTACGGCTGACCTTCCCACCAGGGGTGCCGAGACAGTGATTCTCCAGCCTGGAGTGCCTGGTGGGGCTGGGGCAGGCGGAAGCCGGCCGAGCCCCTCCTCCATCTTCTCCCCTGCTAGACAGTTGTCATTTTCTGTATGGACCATGCAAAAGCCTTCCTCCTGAGATGCTTTTAACCTTGTCTCAGTATTGCCACACCCTCAATCATAAAAATGGGAAACAATTTTAAAAACATAATCTATAGCTGATATTAAGGGGCTTCAGAATGTCTGATGACATCTAAAACCAGTTTTCTATGGAATCTATGGTGCCGATCATCCAGATCCTGTGAGACGTTCACAGGGCGATGTTTTCGTCCCATCCGTTCTTGCATACTTGTCAAGACGGCAAGCACGCTCTGTTTGTCCAGAAATCAGAGGCTCCTCTTGTTAGTAGATGCTGTGATGGCTGTTAGACGAACAACTCTATACAGTGTTTTCCTTGTTTACATTGTGCATTCTTAGGCATTTTAAACATTCTGTTAACAAGTTAGAGAACAGTCCTTGGCCTGTGTGTCCTCGTGACTGGTTTGAAGGAATTAGGTCTTGCATGAGGCCTTGGAGTTTGTGAGGAGGGACCCTCAGATGTCCAGTGCCCCTGACGTTACATCTTGCTTCCCTGAGGAGTTTGGATGATCCCTCCTGCTGAGTCATTTTCTAAGGTTATTTGCTCTGTCCTTCCTAACCACTGTTTGTAGTTTTCACCCCAGTATGTCTGAATCGTCTGAGATGTCTTTGGTCACCTGTGAGCTTGCAAAGTCGCCCTGCCTTGCTTCCTGCACCTCTGCACTCCAGGGTTTAGTAAATGTGCACTTCTGCTTTAAGCCCCTGTGTTCTGAGAGGGACTCAGACGAGGAGACTCCTTTCAGCCTCAGAACAAGAGCAGTGTCCCCCCAGGAAGGCAGGGATGGCAGATGGTAGCTGGGTCCCAGCATCTTCACATAGCCTGGGAAGAGCACCCATGTCATAGCTTACAAAGACTTCATCCTTGAGAAATACAGGAGAAAAGTGGCCACTGTTGTTATTAAAAGAATAAATGTTCAGACTCAAATCCTGGAAGAGAGGTAATGGAGAAGACTCCTTTGGTTTGTCCCCTTAATGAGCTGTTGCACCACTTGTAATACAGTGCCCCAGAATCTCACCCATCTGGATTTTCTGTGCACAAATTAAAAAATGGAAACACTAAGGAAAATGCCGACTAGAATTCAGAAGGCTTTAGTTAAATTTAACATAAACTATGAATTTGTTTATAAAAATAAGGAATTCAGTACAGCTCTAAGTGGCATCAATTTCAGTTGATTAAAACAGCAACTATAACTTAGCTTTTAACTACTTAGCTGTTGGAGTTTGAAATAGATATAATCAGTTGCTGCTTTTTAATGGTGCAAAATGTAATTTAAAATTCTTTTCACTCATTTCTCTTCCTCTCCCCCTACTCTTTTCCCTGTAGCACTTTTTACCCAGGTGGAAATGTGAGCAGCTGATTAGACAAGGCATTCTGGAGCACGTCCTGTCCTGACCTCACCCTGGGGTACTGCCAGGCTTCCCTGTGGTGCATGGTGGAACCCAGCCACGGAAGCTTCTACACCCTCCTTCATCCCCACCCCTCGTTGGTTTTAAAAGTTGCATCCTTTAAGATAGTCAGGAATACTTGGCTAAGGAATGTGGTATATTTTTCTGTTGTACAGGATTCCTCCTCGTCATTGTAATAGGCTGTATCTATAATGATGACACTCCTACAGTTACTACAATGTGTGGTTTTTTTTAAATGAAAGTGAACATTTATTACATTTGTATCTCTTTTAAACAATGAGAGAGTTTCACGTGGCTGTATAGGGAGCAGGTGGGTCCTGTGCACCTTGTGTTGTTTCTGCTGCTGTGCATCGTGCAAGCCAGGGGTCTGAATTTCTAGAATACATGTTTCCAAATCACATGCACAGGTAGAGATGACAGTCCATAAAAATTTTCAGTATATTTAATGTTTAAAGATGTACTAATTTGTCATCTGGCTATTTGGGAAGAAAGGAAGGACACAATGGGTTTTGCCCATTTCCAACAGTGGTGGCTTGTCTGGCTTGTGCCTGCCTACAAGCTTGTAGGTGAGCACCAGTATCACCACTTTGGAAAGAAAAATAGAAATTGGGGCTAGAAAAGGAACTTTGTGCAGTCTTCCCCCAGACTTACCTTGACTGAAAAGTCACTTGAAGAGTTGGTCGGCCAAGTGGAGGGCAGTTTCTTTGTCCAATGAACTGTGAATGGTGTAGGAGCTGGAGAGGCACAGAGTGGTGTTGCCTGGTACTCAGTGGCCTTTCCCCACCAGTCACCTCCCTGTGCAGTCCAGTGATCGGAAAGAGGCATTCAAATGTAAAAGTCCAGATAAGCCTGGTACCTGGCACACACTGCATGTGCAGTTTCATTTTTATATAGGAGACTGTTTCTGGCTGAAATTATATTCAAGAAATCAAGTTATAGAAACCTTTTCCTACCATGTGGATCTGTATGTTTTCATAATAGACCTACTTAGGTCAGTAGGCTTCCCTTTGCAGATTATTTACATTATTAAAAATAATTTCTCCCCATAGTTTTCAGGCCAGATCAGGTTTTCATCTAAATCTTTGGTGATACACAATAAGGAAAATTTCCTGAGTGAATGAGATGGGTGATGTTGACGTCTAACTGCCGGTCTGTAGTCACTTCCTTCCCTCGTATTCAACTCCCAGAGCATGTGGAACCACACACACAACAAGCCCAGGTCCCGGAGCCAGGTGGCAGGATCAACAGCCAAGAGGACATGGCCGTGTGGCCAGCCCAGCATCATTCCCCAACTTTGATTAGACGATGTATTTTTTGTTTAGTTACCCATATAAAATAATAAAGTATATTCCTTATTTGAAGTGAATGTATACCAGTTGAATTTGAAATTTTGGAGGTTTTATTGATTTATATTGACTGGCTCTGTATTTAGAATTGTGGCTAGAATTTTACACATATATCATGTTTTCTTATTATGAAGGTAATAAATGCACAGTTAAAAAAAATACAATGTTGAAAATGAAAGCAAGTTCTCCTCACCTACTAAATACCACCATCCAATGTGCTCACTGTTCGCTGGTTACATACATAAAGTACAATGCCATTTCTTTTTAAGTGGGTTCCCAATTATTTTCTAGCTTTTGTTCCTAAAGTGAATGAAATCTTTTTTCTGTTCTATTTTCTAATTGGCTCTGGCTGATAGATGTAAGAAAGCTGCAAATTAAGATGATGTGGCTAAATTCTAATATTTGTATAGACTCATTTCTTTTTCGCATTGATATTGTTGCCCAGAACCTTCAGAAACATGTTGACTGCTGCTGGTGATAGCTGGCAGCTTATCTTTTCCCTAACTTGATTGGAATGCCACAGTCTTCTTTATCAACCTTTCTAGCGCATCCTTCTCCAGAAAAAATACCAAAACTTATGGCCTTCCTCACTGCAACTTGAAGCCTCAAAATAAATTCAATAGTATAACTAAAAACAAACAGAACAGCAGTAATTAACAAATATTGTTTTTCCAAGTGAGCTTTTGGAACTTGAGTGATGATCATATGGTTTCAGACTTAACTCCCTAATGTAATGAATTCTTTAAATAGAACTGTGTTGTTGAACTATCTTGCATTCCCTGGGCTATAGTCTGCTTGGCCATGGTGTGTTAACCATCCAGTGAACTGCAAGATTTGATTTCCTATCATTAGGGAATTTTGCAACTGTGAGTGATGTTGGTTTATAGTGTTTTGGAAGAGGGGAGTGTGTGTGTGTGTCTCTGCTTTGTCAGTGTCAGTTATATGTTCCTGTGAAACAAACTACCCAAAACATGGTGCCTTTAAACCACCCCCATTTTATTAGCTCTCATGGTTCTGTGGGTTGACTGTTCTGCAGGTCTTGCTGGGGTCTCTGATGCAGTTGTGTTCAGATGCTGGCTGGCTGGCTCAGCCTCCCTCTCCCTGTGTGGTCTCTCCAGCAAGCTGACTGTGCTTCTCACCTGGCAGCTCAGGACTCCCGCAGTGCGGAGAGGGTGGCAGTAGGCACTGCCAGTTTTCTGAAAGGCTAGGCCTGGTACTGGACTAGCATCACTTCTCTGCACCCCTCAGTGAGCCCAGTCACAGGCTGCCCAGATCCAGTGAAGGGACCATGTGAATGAACCACAGGAAGGCACGAACACCAAGCGGCCGCCACAGCCAGGTTTCGTGTCAGTGTTCTGGTGTCTAAAAGGAGTTGGTGCTCCTTCCTTTCCCTGTTTTAAATAGAAATGTAACCTTTAACATAATTTTAATACCTACAGAACCAGCTGGGTATCAATCTTTTCCAGGAGAGATCTTGATCTTTGATAAATTTTTTTATTGCTTTTATTTTCTTCTTTAGTTTTTGGTCAAGCTTTTTTTACTTTTTTCTTGAGTAAATTTTAGTTAATTATGTTTTTATAAATCTATTCTAATCTATATTTTGAAGTATATTGAGAAATTTTTTTCTTTTCTGTACATATGATCTTTCCTATAATTATATATCAGTTTCCTTTTTTCCTAGCCATGTAACTTAAAAAAAAATATTGGTAACGATAATATATTAATCTTTTAGGATGTAGAGGAGGGAGATGTAGATTTCAGGTGATTTATATTGCTTTTCACAAGTAATAGTATTTATTTAGTTATTTATTATTTTGTGTGTGAGGAACATCAGCCATGAGCTAACATCTGTTGCCAACCTTCCTCTTTTTGCTTGAAGAAGATTATCTCTGACCTAACATATATTGCGAGTCTTCCTCTATTTTGTATGTGGGGTTCCACCACAGCAGGGCTTGATGAGCAGTGTGTAGGTCTGCACCCAGGATGCAAACCCGCGAACCCTGGGCTGCTGAAGCAGAGCACACAACCTTAACCCCACTACACCACTGGGTTGGCCCACAACTAATAGTATCTAGGGTGAGTTGAATTTATCATTTTACTTTCTAACTTTATTAAAAAACAATATATTCACATGGTACAAGATATATACATATAATAAGGTATATAACAAAAACTCTTGCTTCCCCCTCTGTGCTCATCCATCCTGTTCCCATACTCTTAGCTAACAATTTTTATTTGTTTCATGGATGTGCTTAGAGTGTTTTTGTATGAATAAAAGAAAATATGAATATAAATTCATAAAAGATACCATATTCTATACTTAGAGAGCTTTCCCATTCTCTTCTAAATGTTTGTAGTGTATGGCTGTGTTAGGCTCTGAATTGTGTTTCCCCCAAATTCATGTGCTGAAGCCCTAACCAGTACCTTCGGAGTGTCACTGTATTTGGAGAAAGGGGCTCTCTGTGTCCAAATTTCCTCCTCTTATAAAGGTGTCAGTCACATTGGATTAGGCCCATTTTACCTTAATGACTTCTTTGAAGGCTGTTTGTTTTATCTTGAAGTTACTTTGCCTGATAGAAGAATGGCAACACCTGCTTTCTTTTGTTTGCCATTTGCTTAGACTGTCATCTTCCATCTCTTCACTCTGAGCCTGTGTTGTCTTTAGAGCTGAGAGGTGTTTCCTGGAGGCAGCACATTTGTTGGGTCTTGCTTTTCAAGCCATCCAGCCACTCTATGTCTTTTCATTGGAGAATTCATCCCATTTACATTTAGAGTGCTTATTGATGTATGAGGGCTTAAAGCTGCCATTTTATCACTTGTTTTCCACTTGTTCTCTTTCCCTTGTTTCTCATCCCATGTATTTCAGACTGCCAGTTCAGTTTGGTGTTTCTCTATGGTGGTTTTCTCTTCATTTATCATTTGTGTCTCTGTTCTGATTTTTACTTAGTGGTTACCATGAGATGTGTATAAAAGATCTCATAGATGAGATAGTCCATTTTCTGATAGCCTCTTATTTCCTTAGTCTAATTAGGTTCCATCCCTTTTCTCATCCCCATCTACGTTATTGTTGTCACAACTTATTCTGTTTTGTGTTGTGACTTTGAGATTAAAATGAAGTGATTATAGTGATTTTTGATGCTTTCCTTCCCTTTATCTTTGATATTATAACTGTTTGCTAACCTGTTCTGATAGCTGCAATTTCCTGATTTTGTCTATTTATTTCCTTGCTCAGAGCTTTGTAACCTCCCCCCATTTTTTTTCCGGGTGTGAGGGCCTTCTTGATCATTTCTTGTGTGTGTGTGTGTGGGGGGGGGGGTGGATGGTGGTGACGAACTCCCTCAACTTTTGTTTATCTGGGAAAGGTTTTATTTCTCCATGCTAGCTGAAGGATATTTTCACTGCATAGAGTATTCTTGGCTGAAAGTTTTTGTCTTTCAGTATTTTGAATATATCATTCCAATCTCTCCTGGACTGTAAGGTTTCTGCTGAGAAATCTGCTGAAAGCCTGATAGGGGTTCCTTTGTAGGTTATTTTCTTCTGCCTTGCTGCCCTTAATATATTTCCTTCATCATTGACCTTTGCCAGTTTTACTAATATATGCCTTGAAGAAGGTCTTTTTACACTGATATAATTAGGAGTTCTCTTATCTTTTACTTGTAACTCCAGCCCCTTCCCCTAGTTTGGGAAGTTCTCAGCTATTATTTCTTTGAACAAGCTTTCTGCTCCTTTCTCCCACTCTTCTCCCTCTGGAATACCTATAATCCTTATGTTGCATTTTCTAATTGAATTGGGTATTTCTTGGAAACTTTCTTCATTTCTTTTTAGTCTTAGTTCTCTCTCCTCCTCCATCTCAGGCATTTCTGTATTTCTGTTCTCTAAATTGCTCATCCTGTCCTCCGTAATGTCAGCTCTGTTATTCAAGGACTCCAGATTTTTATTTCATTCATTGTGTTTTTCATCTCCAACATTTCTGATTGGTTTTTCTTTGTAGTTTCAATCTGTTTTGTGAAGAATTCCGTCTGTTCATTAATTTTATTCCTGATTTCATTGAACTATCTGAATTTCCTTGTAACTCACTGAATTTTTTAATGATAGCTATTTTAATTCTCTGTCATTTAGATTGTAAATTTCTGTGCCTTCAGGATTGATTTCTGGGTGCTTGTCTTTTTCCTTCTGGTCTGGTGTGTGTGTTAATATACCTCTTCATATTATTTGATGGGGTGGATTTGTGGCTTTGCATAGTGATAGTATTAGTTGCATATTCCACCTGCTGCCACTGGGAGTGGGGGGCCAGGAGCTGTGTATTTTGAGCCCACTGTGATCCCTGTCAGCTGTGCCTGTCCGAGCCTAGGCCACTCCTTGGGACCACCACTCTAGCCTCTGTACCTCTGTGTTGTTATTTTTATCTTCTACTTATTAGTGAGATCATACGGTATTTGACTTTCTCCGTCTGACTTATTTCACTTAGCCTAATACCCTCAAAGTCCATCCGTGTTATCACAAATGGCAAGATTTCAAGTGTATATAACTTTATAATAATTCTTCAAATACTGTTAATGATCCAAATTTCTGCTTTCTCATTTGGCTATGCTAAGTCCTTTGCTTTTCATATGAAATTTAGGATCAGCTTGTGAATTTCTGCCAAAAATAAACCTGCTAATATTTTGACTGGGACTGCCTTGAATCTATACATCAGTTTGGGGAGAACTCCCATCTTAACAGTATTGAATCTTCTTGCCTATAAACAAGGTTTACCTTCCCAGTGATTTCTGTCAGCAATATTTTGTAGTTTTTAGTGTACAGATCTATCAGATCTTTTGTGAGCATTTCATAGTTTTGTTTTTTTTAAGATTTTATTTTTCCTTTTTCTCCCTAAAGCCCCCTGGTACACAGTTGTATATTTTTAGTTGTGCGTTCTTCTAGTTGTGGCATATGGGATGCTGCCTCAGCGTGGCCTGATGATCGGTGCCATGTCCGTGCCCAGAATCCGAACCAGCGAAACACTGGGCCACTGAAGTGGAGTACGTGAACTTAACCACTCAGCCATGGGGCCAGCCCCCCTAGCATTTCATAGTTTTAATGCTATTGTAAATGGTATTTTTATATTTCAAATTCTAACCATCTGTTGCTAGTAAATAGAAATACAATTGGTATTGAAC